TTACACATACAAATACGTTATCTTCTTTCCGTGCAATGGAAACGAGAATTTCTTTAGTGCGCGTCTCGAAACGGGAATTTCCTTGGGGTGAGTCTTGAAACGTGCAAATCACTCCGACGGAGAGATCATAAGTAATCATTATGAATTCATCATAGCGACGAATTACTTGCACGTTACAAGTAGAGCATAGAAAATGAGACATATATATCTCTCTCTCTTCCTGCGTTTCTGAGAACGAAGCTTCAAACGGAATGTAAAAGCCCTGTAACCTGCATTAAACGCAGTAAACAGTTATTCTCGAGTAATACTTGATGTGATCAACAAGTGAATGGCTAATTTAGACTTTTATCAGCGTATCATCGCATTATCTTCTCTTCTCGCGGCAGGCGGATAAATGCATTTTATAACGCGTTTGCACGATCTCCGATCTGCATTATTTACAATCTCGTAAATTCTCAACGCGCCGTCGTGAATAGTAATCACGTACGGTGTCGACACATTACGAGCACATAAATTTGCAATAAAATTATTATCACACGAGAGCCTAATATATACCGAATAGGACGAAAAATTGTATTTGTAAGAAAAAAGATTACATTCTGCTATCTTTAAATTTATCACTAAATTTGCCGTTGAAGAGAAAATAAATTCACGCCCACATACGTTTTTACGACTTCAAACTTACAATTTGGTTGCGGCATAATAAGAGTAACTAGCAAAAAAAGACTAAAGAAAGCTAAGAGATTAAATTCTTCTCGTACCGACGTAATTGAGAAGTCCTCCCGATGGAATTAACCTTTTTCCTTCATTAATGAGGCACCGTAATCAACCTGACCGCAATTACACATTTTTGAACGCAAAATCAACGACATATTTTACTCAGCAATTAAAATTGCGTGTTTTATTTATATAAATTTATTCAAAAATAAATGTATATATAAATTATGTAAATACACATATATATATATATATATATATATATATATGTAAGAAATTAAATTAAATGTATGATCAATGTGGATATCAAAATAATGATTAAATTTCGATTATAATGCTTAATTACGAGAGAAATTTTGAATATTGTATTATATTTGTTATCCTCACAGAATGACACACAAAAAACTCTTGACGTTTAATATTAATAAGATAGATCTTGATAAGTAAATTTCTTTTTCGCGAAAACGTCTAAAAGGAAAAGCTATTATTTGTTACAATTATTTAACATTTAACTTTAATGATGTTGGTAATTAAATGTTGAATGAAAATTGTAGAAGAGTAAACATCCTCGACTGTGCTTTGTACATTTAATAGTCCACCTCACGGGTTATTAAGAAGCAACTTAAAAAAAAACGGTAAGACAAAGAAAAATAATTACTTTTTTCTACGTTTTTTCCAAATTTATACACAAAAAAATATAATCTCGAATGCGAAGAAAAACTTATATTCGAATTGAAGTGAATTGGTCATGACAGATTTACACCAATCAAGCAAGTTCTAAACTTCTATCGATAAATTGAGTTAATGCGCTCAAATCCATTTCTCGATAAGTTTCCTAATTGAAATCGACGAAAGAGAGAGAGCGAGAGAATCGCAGCTACAATGCCATGAAATATACGATAGCAAATTCTCCTGGTAATTTTACAAACAGGAGAGAGGAAAAAAACAAAAGTTAAAAAGTATCAATTTTGTCGAGATAAAAAAAGGGAAGGTAGTTTCAACTTGCATTAAATCTAAATACTAAAACTGTTACGTTGACAGAATTAAAGTTGTAATGAATTATCAATCGAATATCGAACGAAAACTAACGGAAAATACTCTCCTCGTCAACATTTCATAATGAATTTTCATTACGGAACTGATTACAAAGCTCTCTTACTCAAAGCATCGTTCATCAAGATTATCGTGACGACGACAGTTGTAACAACGCGACATTTGAAAATTTCTGCTGCAACAAATCACTTCGTTCTTGAATAATTTTGAGAAAAATCGGTGCACTTTCTCTATACATCGCATTAAGAAAATATTTTTATTTTTCAATTTTGCGTAACACGCGGGTCAGAAATATCGATAGATCAAATTTTTCGTCAGATAGTTGACCGAGATTTCTACATATAAAGAAGTTTGTACACGTATATCGTTTTCTATAATTTTTTAATGAAAAAAGTAAATAAACTAAATATATTTATTATTATCTATAATAAAAAAAGTTTTCAACAAACTTGTACACATCTTTGTGTGAAAGAATTTGTAAAATAATTTCTATTGTTGTCTCTCGCACCCTGGCACATTTTCCCTCAACACACCAACTTGTCCTGTAGACTTGACATTTCATGAGCGATTGCACGCACTCCTGAGAAAGTAAATGATTCGCTTACGAGCGGAGATCGCGGGGTCAATTAATCCGAAGAGAAGAGCGAGCCACCGGCATGGCGGGATTAATTAAGCCGAATTAAAACGATATTTAACGGAGTCTGGGATGCGCGCAAATGCGAAACGGAGGCTCGACGAAAAAAGACGCGACGAGTCGGCTTTGGTTGACTGACCGACTATTTCGTTCGTTCGTTCTCGTCGTTCAGCTTCGACGGTTTGCAGCTGCAAATTGATACAGCAGGAGCAAGTTGACGTCAGCCCTTCATAAAAATAGGCGCATTTCTACTAAGACGGCCGCCGTGCAGCTTTAACGACGGCAGACGGGGCCCCAATTAAAAACACGCGGCGTACGAGTCTTTAGAGAAACATCGTCGCTGATTAATTGGTACAATGATGCTTTAAGCCACGATCCTCGGAATCCCGCGATGACAACCGGGATCTCGCGAGGGATATCGCAGGGTCGATGCGCCGTCGTCGAGAAGCGATTTATTAATTAATGTGCGCGCATATTCGATATCTTTAGGTCACATCAGATTTGCATCAGCGAATTCACAGCAAATGTTTTACATTAATATACGAATAAATATGTGAAAAATAATTCGTTTTTAATTAAATCTTTAGAGGAAAATGCCGATCATGAAAATTGATAGAAAAATTATTAGAAGAGACAAATTTTACAATTTTGCACATATTTGCGAAATTCTCTGCATACAATTCTGTGCGTATTTCATATTGTATTATATTATATTCCATGTATTTCATGTAGAATAAATTTATTTTTCTACTATCCTAAAGGGGAGGGAAAATTTTTTTATCATATTTTTTTATCAGTATGATATTCACAACAGAATATCTGAAATGTTAAAAAATATTTTAGAATTCCACAAAAACAAATGTAGCGACGCGACATGTGCATGAATATATATACGTATGTGTATACGTATCATAATAATAATATTTTCACTATAAACAATCGATAACAGATATACAGTTTCTCTTTCCAATTTTTGCAATTACGTATTATATTCATATTACATATGTTTGTCCTGTCTCATCTCGCTGCATTCGTTCCCGCGAAATGGAAATCCGCTTATATAAGCGTAATATATAAAAATGAAATCCGTTTGTTACCGGAGAAATGCTCTCGAATGCAAAAAAAATGTATGAATCTCACCGATGACGGAGAGGTGGATTAATTATACTTTCATACCGATCTAATCCGCTTTTCAAATTCGAAAGAAGGCAAAAATGACCGTCGAAGCGTGCAAGTAGAGACGGAAGCCTCAGCGAGCAATTTATCGACTTTTCCGCTGAAAATTAAACCGTGTTGAGAGTCGAGGATGCTTTTCGCGTGTTCTCCCTTTTCTCTCTCGTACTTTTTCGCTCTTTATATATCGAGAATCGAGTATCAAATGCGAGGCAAACTCTCGAAACAAATAGTCGGCTGACTGTCAAGAAGCGGCAGGGCTTTATTGGAAACTTGCACAGAGCTAGCGATACGCCACGTGAACTTTATCGCATATATTTTATATTGTAGAAGTTTGACGTGCTCGTGATAAATAATATAAAATCGCGCAGCCTGAGCAAGCATTTAACGACTGGTTGCCCATGTTCTCCGCGACAACCGAGAACAAGCTAGACGTGCTACGGGCGCAAACAACTTTACGGATCGCTTTTCTTGATGAATGGGCCTCCCGACTTTGCATGCAATATATCGTACACCTTATTTACGTCACATATGCCGCGCTTGTTTGTGAGCTCAAGCTAGCGTTCCATTAATTCTCAAACTTTATTCTATATATTTTAATTTTTTCAATCTAGAGTTCTCTACCGTATATATTTATAATTCATATCGAAAATATCGATTACCACGGCTTTCAATAAATTCCTAGTAAAAGTGCAAACATTTTAAATTTTTATGTTTAATAACACGTTATATTAATTAGAGACAGTTGAGAAAAAATTATGTATAAAAAATTTATATTTAATATCTAATAAATAGATATTTAAAAGTTAAAATAAATTTCATGTTGAGTACTCTTCTTGAACGTAATCGAGATTTCCATATTTAAAATACTACTCGTATTATTTATCTCTTCGAAATACTGTGACCTTTTTAAATGTCATAACAAATCAATTAAAATTTAATAATAAACCCTTTTAAAAAAAAAGTGTGCCAAAGAGCAGCTTAGTACCTAGCGTATATAAAAAAAACTTTACGATCGCGTATAAAAATTTCGTATCGCAATAGAATACACGTCGTGTCTCTCGATTACGTCGAGATGAAGAAATGAAGGGAAGCGAGAGAATGAAAAAAAGCAAAGGAATGGGAAGCCGGTAAACAATTTTTTATATATAATTATATATAAATAATTGTATAATTATACATATAATCGTGAAATTATATTTGTGAAATATGTCCATTTTTATACATAATTATATAATTATAAAATTTATATAATTATATATAAAAAGCATTTTTATCTGATTATGTATAAACATATTTCATATAATTTTATATATTTCTATATAATATTATATTGTTATATATATAAAAAATTGTTTATCGGGAATTGAGGGAGAAAGAGAGAGAATGGCGGATGAAAAACCGGATCGTGCGTTGTTGCGACCTGCTGTCTTGTTGATGTAAAACTCGAATGCGGCGAGAGGCCCAAAAGTGCTGGAGCACTGCGAGTCGCGATAGTCCACCTTGATTTCCCATCCGTGCAGAGATCCCTTCGACGAATTCACGTGTTCCACCGCCAGCTGCACCGCCGGCAATACCTTCGGCAAGCTTTGCTCGTGGTGAGGATCGCCCGGAGCGATCACCGCCAGCTTGACGACCTTGTGATTGGATTGAATCGTCCGTGCACCGTCGACGCACTCCTTAATAGCCGGCGCCGATGTCGTCGTCTTCGCCGTCGCCGACGTCATCGTCGTCGTCGTGTTCGTCAACATTATCGACGTCATCGTCGACGTCTCGCCGAAGTCCGCGCAACGACCGACGTACATGCTCGATAGGAGCAGTATAAATCGCACCAGAACACCACTCGCGCACCACCGTCTTCTCGTCCGCGATGCCATATTTCCTCTTTCTACCTCTCGTCGGAATTATTTCCACCTCTAATAATTATTGCACATTGCGACGAGTTTTCCGGGTCGCGGTCTCCTACAGCGAGAGGAAACGAGTCACCCGCGGCTGCTTACGGGCTACGATTAGCAGCTGATGTTCCTTGCACTTTGGTCTCATTTCGCGCACCACTTCGAGCATTCTCTCGAACCGCGATACACATTTCACGGTAACGCGCTTTCGACGTGCCTTATCATATTTTAACGAACATAATTTGAATCTCGTTAAACATTTGACACGCGATAATGAGCAGGATTTTAAGTTGTTCAATATCTTGCGTAATATTTCCTATTCCTGCGGAGGTTTCCGTAGGGTAAACAATATTTTTCCCGAAGAAATAGTAGTAAGATTGTTGTTGCACTTCCAATTGCGATTTCGACAGACGCGTTATAATGCATGTCCATCTTCATTTGCAGCCGTTCGCATAATGTATGTAATGCGTCACACGCGCTTTCGCATTAATTACTTTATATGAAAATTAATGTAGATAATTTCGCCTCTCTCCCGAAGTGCCAGATATCATACTCCGTCAAAGGAGTCCATTACAGTCTCCGGTGTGTTCCAATTTAACTTCGATGAAACGATAATCATCAGTAATCCCGAGTATCATAATGTTATTAATTACGAAATATACCTGTTCCTTAGAAGCTCGACTGCGAAACGTATCTAAAATTGCGAAATGAGAGATATGTCCTGATTAAAAGTCACATATCTATGTGCATAATCATGTCCCGTATATGGAATGCCTCGACTTGATTCGACATTCATTTGCAAGATTTTAGTTCGCAAAATTAAATAAAAAGATCTCGTTCATTTTTCATCTAATAAAATGCTGCACGTAATATGCAAAAACTTGTTTCGCATAGTTTAGCATAGTTTAACGGTATTATCCTGTAGAGAATATGCCTCGGAAAATGTGTGGCCGATATAACCCTCCAATAGCACGACAAATCGTTGCCACGTACGTCCCTAATGTTTCCCTAGCGTTTCAGCAGAGTAAGTGGATTCGTGCCCGCGTTTCTAATAAAGATAAAAGTAAAGTCATGTTTTAATGATCGCGGCTCTAATGGAGTTTTCCAAGTTTTCCACATAAATATTTGCACGTTTAAATATATTATTGATTTCCAAATTAAAATTAGTATATTTTTGTATCACAAAAGATATTTAATTTCAATTTGTGTCTCTCGTATTATTACAATTTTTACAATTTAATTCTTTCGAGAGAAAAAATTTTGTTTTTAATGTTAGCTATATCGAATAATGGCGAGAACAAAGAGAAAAAGCATATACATTCTCGTCACTTTTCCGGATAAAAATAATTTTTTAAGGTAATTAAAACCTTAGTACATAGAGTCTTCTAAAAGCTACATTCTTCTATAGGAATTAATTCAATTTTCAAGAATTTTCACATAAAGGCGTGTAAAATTATTCTAGGCATTCAAATAGAACTCGTTACATTCACATATAGAGCGTGCGTATCCAACATTTTGATTAAAGTAACTGATAAATTATTGATTTCAACGCGCAATAAAAAAAAACTTGACACAATACAAGTAGCTGATTAACATGTCTTTGGCTAGAAGGCTTTATTGAGGTTGCTTCTCATGGAATTGAAGTGGCAATTCAATCGGCGGATACCGCATGTTTTTCGGGAAAGCTTTTCTTATATTGAGCAAGACACGCGGACCTGAAAGCCGAGGACAGACCTTTTATTCCGCGGAAAAGTAATAAGGGTGTAGATAAAGTGTCTCTGCCGGCTTCTATCTCGGTTTTCGCGCCGAGGTTTCTCTTACAGGTTTTGCGCGCGCAAAAGCAGAATTGCGACCATCGCACCTTCTTGAATTAGAGATGGAAGAATATTATTACACGAGGCAGGCGAAGTGCGGACGAACGAGACGTACGTGACCGCGCACGTCAAAATTTCCCCATTTGCCGCGATGGACGCGCGTCATGTAACTTTTAACCCGCAGCTGCTACGGCAAAATATAATCTAACTTGAATGTGGATGTTTCATGGAAATATAAGAAACAACGCGCGCGCGCGCGCGCGAAAGATTTGCTTTCAGAGAGATTGTGATTATTTTATCTTCTGATAACTTTTTACAACTTTATATAGATATAACACGTAACTACATGTGTTCTCTAAACTGTGTTTGAAAAAAAATTAAAGTTACTTATCGTGCAGATAACGATAGATATTGTAACACATTGTGTAACACGCTTATTTATTGACGCGAATTATATCATTCTGTTATAATGAAGGAAGTAATAACTTTATTCTCCCTACAACCGATATCCTAATGCAATTTGCGCATACGTTTTTACGATAATACAATTATTCGCGCTGGATACGCATTAAACGCTAGTGCAAAATAGCAGAATTATATTTCCATTATAGTTATACAGCACAAGGCGACAAGGGAATAGATTTACATCCTACATCATTCAGCAGGATGATTCATCTATCTATTAATATTTGATTCCAGTCACGTACTCAATCTCGTACATATATATTTTATGCATAAATTTTGCGCGATAAAAAATATACGCGCATTCGCTAGGGATGCTATACTCGAGAGACATTTCAAATGATACAGATTTAGATGATTGCGTAGCAACGAAACGCGTGTCGCACAAAATCTTCCTATATCAAATTTGTTGTCATTACATTCGAGTATTTACTGATTTTGCGATATTAATAAAACAACAGCGAAATATGTTACAGTCTACGTTAAAAGCATTAACGTTTGTTTTTAAATCAACGTGTTATTTTTTCAATGGAGATTCATATAGCAAATTTCTACTCATTTTACGAAATGGCCACTGATCGATCTTAGAGACGACGTAGAGCGATGACTTTCGAAAGATCCATATTCGCTCAGCGATCAAAGCGCACGGAAACGGAAGTTTCTAATACGACCATTAATGCTTTCATTACGGATTAGGCGTCCGCTCGTAAATGGAAATTAATCACAGATAGAGACAAAAGCCCGAATCCGACCCAGGTTATTCCGCCGAAACGGGTAATCAATTCACTTCATTCGAAGTTAATAGTAATAATAGCATCCGTTCTCGTAAGGGAAGCTAATCCCTAAATTAATTAACTTCGCATTGTCGCAAAAAAAAATTTCAAAAATTATTATTTGTATATTTCACAAAAGATTATTAAGAGAAACATGAGACATAAAGAATGTGCGTACAACTCTATCATTTATTGTTTCGTTTTATCTTTCTTTCTCAATAAACAAAAGTTTTTTTAAAATCTATATATGAGAGAAAATAATTTGAATAATAGAGAGTTCAATAAAAACTATACGCGAAAATAAATAAATCTGATAAAAGAAGACTGATGAAGAATTGAAGGATGGATAGAAATGTTTTGTATCTTGAAAAATTTGAGTCATTGAAAAATCATGAAAAAAAGGCGGAATAAACGTGCGTGTTTGTTCTCAATATTTAACTGAATATTCATAAAGTTTGCAAAAGGCGGATAATGCTGCAACAAGTGGCGCATTGCAGTTTTATCAAAAATGCTTTCCCATTCTTTGAGATTTTATCGATTTATAAAATATTACCGTTCCAGTTAAAGAACTTCCCATCGCGGAAGGGATTTATAATTAACCCATGATGTGTACCTTCTGCTGTAAGCAATTTTGAATAAAAAATAGGGAAACATTTTAACTTGAAATATAATATAAACCGGGCACGTCAGCAACGAGAAAAATGAGCGAGTTTAAATCTGCGATGCAAGAAGTAAGCTTCTTTGAAAGCAAGTACCAATATCGCGGGCAGAAATAGAACACTCAAAAAGAGCTCCTACTCCTTATCCTTGAAAAGAGCAAAAATTTCAATTTTAAGTTTTAATAGCATACTACTAATGCAAACTCTTTAATAGAGAGAAAATGCAAATAGCATTTTTAAGCAATCATTACCCGCAGATTTGATAAGACACAACTTAACTAGAATTTTTAAGAAATTCATTAACGAATAAAATGACATTAACGAGTAAAAAATGTTATAACGATATATTAAATATCACGCATTTAATGACGGTAAACGATTATAGTAATTATTATTGCAAATAAATATCGGCCCCCCATCTATTAATATTTCTGCATTTGAAATTTAATTAATATATATCAAACGAGTAATGCGGTTAATATAAACACCTTTGTACATAATTTACATCGTTCTGCGCGCAAAATTCCGACCGGGTGCATTAAAGTCATTCAATTTACTCATGACGGAAAGGTATTTATATAAATATTATAATCGTATTATACATACATGTGTAATGTAAATTACGTATAATATATATACATATATATATATAAAGAGAAAGATAAAAAGGATTTGTGGTAATTAATGTACAATATTGAAGATTGCAATTATCCGCATTATTGCGGCCACAATTACGGCTATCATAGACTCAATTTTATATTCTAAAGCTATTTGCCAATAACACCGATTTATACTTCGGGAATAATCGTACTTTTTCATGCGGCATTCATTTGCGATTATCGTGGAGCAGCTCACTTATATTCTTAGCGCAAACTGCCGGACTTGCTTGTCGAAGTTCAAGCGAGGAAAACGGTGGATTAATGATCACCGGTAATCGCGAACGGACAATTTAATTAGCAGTTGCCGGGCAATGCGTCGTTTGATTAAATCACAGTTGACGGAGTTCTTATTAAAGACCGGAATTTGCGTTCTTTCCTCGAAAATGAGGATGTGACGTCCAAAGTAAATATTACAATCAACGAATCAGAAGAACGCAATCACGAGTCCTGGGAAAGGATCCGCGTCGGTAGTTTTCATTAATAAATTTAATTAAAACGCTGCTGTTCCGCAGAAGAAACACGATCCGTCAAACAGTTTGCAAAACAATATGCAATATCGAAGCGAATCGCGCGTCCGATGCCAATGGAATATTAATTTGCGAAACACGAGTGTGATGCCACCGCGTAAAGATTGCTATTGTGAACATTGCTTCGCTTTATGCATCTGCTTGCGCGAACTTTATCCGTATGTATATATCGTGTGAATATCAAACGTGCGAATCGTCAAAAGCTTTGAATTATTTGAATGGTGTACTCTACTGGTACAGGCATTCATCCGGAATGTGCATCGTCGACACAAAAGAAGCAGAACACACCAATGCAATATACATATATACCATACATGGATAGAGCTTGAGAGAAATGCTTACTGTTATCGATTTTGTTTTATAGGACCGTCTTCATCGCCAATTACCTCGCGTCTACATTGATGGATTGAGACTTGAATAAAAACTCGATGCTTACGAATCTAAAGCAATTCAATCTCGAAGTATCATTCTACCTGATTCATATATACATGTATATCGAGTAAAAAAAGTTATATAACATTTTTATGTTTCATTTTTTAAATATAGATTTCTCTTTCTGATCAAAAGGTGCGTGTTTTTAATTGTGGTTTAGGCAAATCTCACTTTGTTGCGCTAAGTAATGTCATTATTTTCTAAAGTACCTATACAAACACATATCGTTCGCGATATATTTAATCCCATAGTCATATCCCTACTCATATTAACCGTGATGCGCGCCTCATGCAATTTAATGCAATTTAATTGCACATTTAAACGGGACATATAATCGCGAGATATATTCGAAAGTTGCAAAGCTTTTAGACCGCCGCGCTACCATAAAGTACGTCGAAAAATCGCTTGAAAAGCTTGGCACTCAAATTTACATTTACCATAAAAAATTCCGCACGCGGAGATGACTTCGTCCCATATTCTTCAACTTCGCTCGTATCTGTCGTGTCTATATCCTCGACACGACAACTTCTCTCTACTCGCAAATGTTCCGTCATCTTTCATCGCGTACTCGGCGAGTCGGTATGTACGATATCCCGAAGCAAATATGTAATGTTACGAAGCAAACTCAAGGAATAGTTGCAAACGTGTGTCCTCGACGCCGATAGCTCCAAAAGAAAAGTTGGGAGAATATATGTCATCTTGAACTTTCATTCAGTTTTCCGAAACATAATCGACGGCTCCAGTTTTCAATCATGCATACATTTTTTTGTATAAATTTGCTGTTTATTATTGTATATCTTTTGATTAATTAACTATTCTCATAAAATTATATTAATGGTTATTTATTGTTATATATGTATGCTATATATTATGTAACACGCGAATATTCCTCTAATTTTGTTATTATAGTTTGTTAGTCAGTTATTTTTCCAAAAACTTAAAAAAAATTATACGCGTATATACAAGTAGCTGCAGGATTGAATAGAATGCTTTTTTCTTTGAGCACTGCCCGATACAATGTCATGTATATATGTATTTTGCAAAATCCGATTACATAGAATATACTTTTAAAAGAGAATTTGTAAGGCCCCGATTTATTAAATAGTCTCTAATTATCGTTAAAAAGACTAACATTTAAAGACACGCAGCTCTCTAACGCTGCTTTTTTGTAACATGAGTCTATTTAATAAATATTTTAATAGAAACTATGTATAATAAGAAATTAGCATATACGGTAAAAGTTCTACATTCGCAAAGGTTTACATGCTGCGAAATTTTCATAAATATGGAAATCGCGAATATAGAGAAAAGGAATATAGTATAGAAAAAGATTAAATTAACAAAAAAATATATGTATACCAAAAAAAATAAAAGATATACGTCTTTTGCATATTTTGTCGCACTTAATTTATTTTAATAAATAAATAAATTATATATTTCTTATATAAAGCTCTAAAATAAAAAATTAGAACAATTTGCCCTAAAATCCGTTATTTTCTTGTTGTCAATAATAGTTAGTGATTTTTCCATCGAACAAAAAATGACAGCATATATCAAATTGCGAGATACGCGAAAAAAGCGTGGAAATGCGAAGAATCTAAGCAGAGCTTTCAAGAACTTTTATCTACTATATTATTTAAAATATAAAAACGGATATATAATAAATTGTATAAGTATAAGAAGCTAAAGCACTTTCCTCAGAGATACTAAATCAAATAAAACAGAGGTTCTAAGAAATACATATATATATAGTATATATGGTATATACACATGAGAATATGATAAAATATGAGAACTTTCGTAAAAAGCGAATACATGTTTTCTGCATATTTTTCAAAGAATGTCAATAGAAGTTGCATTAAATTAAATTTAATTATTATTGTAATCTTTTTACAAAAGAAAAACTTTCTATAATATTTTATATATGTATATATTATTACTATTTATTTTTCTCTAAGAACATGAATAATAGTGCAAAGAATCTGCTGAGAATGTTCTCGTTTCTTTTCCCAGTCTGATTGCAGCAATTTTTATCTACGCGGTCCATTTTCTGAATCTGTCAAATGCACAAAGTACATAATAATAGCTTGCCACCACATCATTTTCATATCCCGTGTATGAATATATGTGCATTTTCATTCGGCACACGTACTTTTCGAACGAGAGATCGCACCCCAACGTTTACACGTGTCCGCATTTATCATGTAACACGCAACGCGAATGTAATCCGGGAATTTCTCTGATAACTATATGGTTCGACTAATTCTCACGACGAGATGGAATAACGAGACGGATGCCATTGTAACTCTGACATTTTGTCATTATATTATCACTTTCTTCTTGAAATAGATGTGGAAAACGAAAGACGCGAAAAGCACCTGCTGGAGCAACGCAAAAGCATCACTCTTGAGTAAAGAAATATTTTACATTTTTCTATTCGTCCTGTCAAAGAAGATGTATCCTTGATATCTCATAGTTCTATGAGATTCACGTAAATCAAAATTAAATTAGAATTGCGTTATATCGAACTTTATGTATGAATTGTGTTTCAATTTCATGGTCAACTTTACTTGCCCTACGTGCACGCTCGCATATAAAAATCCTCAATGCATAAGACGTTTAATGGGATTTACTATAATCGACACGTACAAGAGAATCCTTAAGGTTTCTTATTGAAGCGCAAATAAGCCTAATTTGTTTAGGATCTAGCGCAAGGTTGTCAAGAGGAAAATACAGTATCTCGCGTTGTAAAATTTAATTACCTTTTCTCAAGGCTCATGAGCAATGTTGCTCATTTGATTAATTCAATTTGACAATCGGATTTAGCCTTTGTGACATTCAAATGTACTCAACACTTGGCAAACGCGTTCAAAGCGCAGCGTTCACTAAACTAAAAGCTTCGAATTACATAATCATGTTTAAGTTTGCGGAAAGCACATACGGATTCCTCTATCAGCTAAGTTAAACAGTCCTTACAGTCGGCTGTTGTGCTTGCAGAGCCATATGTGTTACATAACAATTACATAAAATTCGCGTAGCAAGAAAAATCTCAGCATCACCCAGTGAATGCGCAATGTTGGAAGATACTACGACTGAGAAAAAGATATTTTGTGTTCAAGATATAAAGGTAATAATTTTTTAAAAGCTATAGAATCTATAATCCTTTCATTCGTATATAAGGCAATATAATTATTTTATCTTCTTAATAAAATTCGCTATTAATTTCTGATTATTACATATATTATACATATATGTAATTATAAATTAAAACATTGATTCACTATTATTAATAATCATTCATAGATTATTGACAGTCGTTAATCTTTTGTTTTTGTTGCTAATTTCAGATAGTACGCTGTTTATTATAAAGTTACAAAATTTAAAAATTTACGCTTTCATTGGCTGATAGATAAAATAAAATAAATTATTTTTGGAAATTAATTTCTCATTGATACTTTAATAGTTAAACACAATGCACGCAGCGTTCAGCATCAACATTGTGTTATGCAACTCTACTTATGACAGTCACGAACTGATACCTTCGCAGAGTGAAACTAAACTACCTTAAAACTTTTATACACGGCAAGTTCGTATCGTATAAAACTCGCATAACGAATATCCGCTCGACGAATAGATAGAGATCGGTTCGCGCTTTATAGCGATGAAAAAGGGATATTTCGAAGGGAAATAAAAGCTACATATCGTGTGTATATGTATATACACATATATGTATATACATATACATATATACGAATACATTTATTTCCGGGGGTCAATATAAGCGTCAAAAAGGCAAAAAGCGAAAGGTCCCCAAAAATTTATTACCATAGCAGCTGTTCTCTCGTCAATTCGTGCGAAAGGAATCGCGGTCGTTTACAACTCACATTGCGCGATAATCTGTTCGTTCCTGTGATTAATTTCGTGAGAAGAAAAACAGAATACAAAGATGATCGCAATTTCGAATATTCGCTAAATATCCCGTACGATCATCGAAGAAGATACAACATGTGAAATAAACTAATGCGTCAGTTGACATCTTTTTCAAATTATGATAAAAGAATTTGATATTAATTTTTGATAATTTGCATATAATTGCACAGAGAGAATTTTCTCTTACAATTTACCCTGAAAATCATAGTAATTGTGGGACAATATGGTATTGGAAGAATTTTATAAAAGTTTCTCTGATTAATATTTACCACAATAAAAATATTAATATCTACCATAATAAGATATAAAATATGTTCAATTAATTTTACATGTACATATTCATATTTTTTTATTGTGGTAAACATTAATCGGAGAAACGCGTATAAAATTTTTCCAATACCAGATTGTTTGACGATTATCATGATTTTCGGGCTAAATTCTAAATTCAGGTATAATTAAAAAGTCTAGCTTATAATAAGACCATAATTTATAATATGCCTATTTTGCCTAAATCATAGATCTCTATTTTTATTTTAAGTTTTTCAATCATAACTCATTATAATTCATATTCTATAATTATTATTGTATGTCGAACAGAGAGCGAATTCTTTGTGATAATGCAAGATGTTTTCTATTAAAAAAAAAAAAAAAAAAAGAAAATCGAATTAAAAATTCAAAATGTTATTATGATTAAAACTAGTTTTTTCTCCCTTTTGCCCTTTACACACAAGATTCAATGATAGAAAACCGAGCAGACTGATCAAGTCGCACAGAGATCAGGGTTTCAAATTCTTTTCCATACGAAAAAGCGTCTGGAGCGTCCAACGGAGAAATGTCACGTGTTTTCCGATTGAGAGAGCCGGCAGAGAAACTACCAACGCACGGACGAGCAATTTCGAGCTCGAGGTGTTTCGGTGCCTTTACCATATATAAAAAAGAAAATGTCACACCATCGTTATCAAACAGGTGTACTTTTTAACGACAAAAAACACGCGCGTACTGAATCATATCCCTCACGATCGTAGATTTTATATTGATATAAAGAAATCGGTTCAAGAACGTGTTTGCCCCACATGACGTTCTCTAAGCAACTTGTTCACTGACAAGAACCAACTTTTTCACTATATCCGGAAACTACATTTGCAAACAGAATCAACCAGATTACCGTCTCGCGGAATTTTTATTTAATTGCGACACGAGACACGTGTTGCACGCGTTGATATCTCTCAACATCCCGGGGATGAATCAATGACAGCTTCGCGATCGAGATCGACTGGGTCGATCGTTCATCCGCGATCTCTCTATGCTCATCTCTCGAAGTAACTCATCGTTCCGTATAGTCCATCGGACCACCGCGATCTGATATCTGTTCTTTTTTTTCGATCGATCGTTATCTCGATCCCCGGTTCGCGCTCTTTCGGAGCAAGCTTGGAGCGCGCGACTGAAACTGAGAGCGAGCCGAAGGAAAGCACTGTGCTCCGAATCGCCCACCAAAGTCGACGATCGCTCCTCCTCTCCGTTTTCATCTGCTCTCTCTCTCTCTCTCACCCTCTCCCTTTCTCTCTCCTCCAGCCTCCGATTCTCTCTCTCTCTCTGTCCCTCTTTTTCTCCCTTCGATCCCGCCACCCTCTCCTCTATTATCTGTCCTTATCCATCTCCCGATCTGTCAATCTATCTATCTTTACCGGTCTCTCTTTATCGCACCCTCACATCGCGCGCAGCCAGCTTGCTCTAGGAACACGAGATACGCCACTTCGAGATCGTGTAGGTGGATGTCGTTGTGCGCCTCCACGAAGGTAGACAACGAGGAAATGGAACGCATGCGTCGAGATTCTCCGTACGTACCCCCGTGGACACCACACCTTTCATTCCGCACCGAATCGCCGCGAGGCACGGACGGGCTGTTTAGATCTTCGAGGATCAGAAATGTATTAGTCGTGTTATCTCTTCTACGTATTATTTTATCTCAAAAAATTATACGCGCCCGCGATTATACCCTCTAAATTCACGAAAAATCACCCTCGAGGGAAGATTCGCTTGAAAGTATTATATATTTTTTGGAGTAGAAGTTTTATAATAAATTTTATGTGAAATTTATGGGAAGCGCGAAGTTTAAGAGACGCGTATTTATATTATAAATAAAATAAAGCTTGTGCAAATTTTAAACTTTAGAAGTGTTAATGGATTGAAACAATTTGGGTGATTTCTAAGTAACGATATATAATCCTTCATGAGAAATTCGGAATATTCTTGTTCCAAAACATACAAAGCTAAGAGTGAACAAAGTTGCGACGAATAAACAAGCTTAAGGCTTTGTTAAAGAAAGTAAAGGAAAAGCAATTCTCTCTACACACAAACACGTCATAGAATCTAAATCCCACAATATTTTCAGAAAATATGAAATATGAAGTAATCAGAAAAAGAAATAGTATTTTATAATATTTTATGGGTGAAATATTTTTATTAAAATTTTATTACTATAAATTTTCAGATTTTTTCTCCCTTCTATTTCTTTCTTATAAAAAGTATGCAATGTCCCTAAAGTGTTCAAATTAAAATGTTATAGATTGAGACAACATCGTGATCACTAGAGATGACTAAGCAAATTTTATCTTGCAAACACAAATCGCGTGCTTTAAAACGCGAGAAAAAGAGAGTTTGGAGAACACTAACTATCTTAGCAAAAATAATAATGGGATGTCTAATCCGTATTGCACACTTTTATCGATAACACACCACTCGTTCTGCCTGCATGACCGCAAATATTGACAGAAAAATAGATTTTACAATACCTGAAATGTCACATACGTGACAATAATACTCAGTGGAAATTATCGATAAATCGGATATTGCAATCTCATCAATTTCTTACGCGTGTGTACCTCCTTCCCGAATAAATCTATTACTCATCAATTTCCGACTCATATACTTTTTGCAAAACTATTATCAAATATGTATTTGAAACACTATTATCAAATATTTTAGAAAAATGGAATATCATAAAAATCATAAGAATATATAGAGAATTGTTATCTTAAATATAAAAATACTTAAGTTCAAGTAAAAGTTTTTGTATCGATATTAGATTAGGTATAAATAAAGTCATTATCATTCATACATATAAATCATTTATACATATATAATATACTTCACAAAATATATAGATGAATGATAATATTTTGTATGATTTCATTATTACGCGTTAAAAACGTGTGCAAATATTTATTAAGCCCGAAATTATTCCCAATACTAATATTATAAACACACATTTTCGCAATTATTCGTTTCAAATGTCGCATTCTCTCCATATCTGTCATACAGACAAAGTCAACTCTCTGATCTTTAAAGTGAAAGAACTATTGAGCAATAGTTGCCTCTAATTCTTTCATATCGTTCAAAAATAACTTCTAACTGGACTGAGAGAAAGAAAAAGTGTATCACGTCAAACACATTTGCTATAAACGGTAGATACATTTGTTTGTGAGTAAATCAATTGAATACAGTGTTAAAAAAACTTATACAGCATAGAAAAACAAAAAAACCTTAAAAAATTAAAAGTAAAGAATAAAAGTATAAAAACTTTGTAACTGTGCATTTTACTTTAACAAACAAATTTTTGCCAAATGTCCTAAATTAATCGAAAAAAATCATTAATCAAAATGTCAAAAAACCTACGACACTCTATTTTAGACAAATGTCAAAGCTTATATGTAGATGCATTACGTCGCATCCGATAGTCGTTGAAGATTTTTCTTAAGAGTTAGTGCTGTTTCTTCCGATAAGTCGGAAAAACTTAAAAGCATTCGCTAATATTCTTATTATCAAAGATGTCACTTTCGATGATACTTACTCTTCCGAGCTTAATGCTCTTATAACATTCAACTTTGCTACACACAGAACTGCAATATTTATGCAGCAAGTCAAAAAACTGTCATAAACGCTTATTTGTATATGCTCTCAATGCATATATATCGAATGATATATTGTAGTTCGATATAGTACTATAAGAGCATATGCAATAAGTGTTTTATGTATAATTTATCGACAATATTCACAAATATCTACTCATTTTACATGAGGATGACATAGGAGTGCGAATGACGCGTTCAATTTATACATTATAAAGTTCTTCAATTTTCAAACAAAAAAATTAGTCTCTTGTTTCTGCGGCAACTTATGCACGTCGTAACTTTTCTCGCGATGTAATATAAAACGCACGACAGAAAAATTAGAAATAATGAAATTTTTATCAGTTGCTATTTCCCGTAAAAATAATGGAAATAGCGGAACTATATCATTTTGCAAAATAAAATTGGATATAAATAAAAACTATTGTAAATTATTTTAGACATATATGGGACATGTAAAGATTTAATGCATATTTGCATATGCACATGCACGTAATGTTTAATAATAACATTTCTCAATTACATACTTAAAGTATAAATTTTAGAAAATTAAAAAATTGTTTTTTTGTAAATGCATTAATTATTACCGACGTAATTTACCGGCGTAAGATCCTTCTCGTGAATTTTGTGTAACAAGAAACGGTACTTTCAACAGTCGATAAAATACTTTGGCACTCGAAATATTGATTAATATTCACCGATACTGCCAAAATATCGAATAAGCATTTTTCTAAATATTTAATTAATGAAAAACATGTCAATAAAATGTATGCAGCACACGCACACACAATGCGGATATATAACTATTTCTCGAAAATTATCTTTATAATATTTATCAAATTAATTTTTATATACCTGTTTATCATTTATACACACAATATATTATTTATAGTTTTGCGTGTACATATAATAGATAGGTATATATATATGACAGATATTATCTTTGAATAAAAAAATAATTCCGGACGAAAATCCTTGTAACACTTTAAATAGATATCGGTAATCTTTTAAATTCATTAAGGAAATGTTTAAATATAGATGTAGTGACGTATAAAATCGTGTGAGAAGATATCAATAATAGAAATGTCCAAACACGATAAGTTGCACGATAACGATAAATGATATGATAAGGCACTGTTCACCTAATGATTAAAAAGAGTTAAACAAAAAATTACGCAAATACTTTCTTATTCGCTAAAAATATTATAAACAAGCACAATATCTGATATCATTTATTAATAGAATATATTTTCCACACTACTAAATAAATTTTTTATTTAGTATTTTTATGATAAAGGCATCAACAAACTTTGTACATATAATATGATAACCTTAATTATTTAAAGTGTCTCAATGTTATTATAAAGAATAATTAATTTTATTCTTTTGAAATGCTTACCTTTATAAAGTTCCACAAGATTTATGTCAACATTACACATTTGGCATTAAGAGAAAAACAATTAGATCGAAACGAAAGACTAAAAAACGACAGAAATTATAAGTAAAACCTCTCGAGATGATTAATGTACGGGATGTATCATCTTTCCTTCACGTCACTCGGAATATATTGATTCTTGTCAAATTTACAGTGAGTGCTCATAGCAACGCTGCCATTAACGTTATGGAGCGATTCGAAAATACAAAAATAGAGCACATTTTCATCACACAATAAATTAATGTCAAGCATCAATTATTATATATAAAATAAAAATATGTATACTATATAGAAAAATACTATAACTTCAAAAATACAATGTATACATATAATATATATTTATGCTTTATTTATGTTACTTATGCATTTCATATACTTATTGTATTTTTTAGAATTATAGTATTTAATTGTACTTTTTTATTTTATATTTCAATGCTTTTAAAATAAATTTGTTTAAAAACATTTGAATATAAAAAAAATCGTTATTTGCTGTCGACATAAATTGCCGATAAGATGCATATTAATTTTAGAAATATCAGATTAAAGTATAGAAAAGATGAGACTAATGTTATATTGTTCTTTATACGATTGCAACTATATATTTTCTTATAAAGAATAATTAAATGTAAGATACCTATTATTGGTTCGTCATTTTAAGACAACGACAGTTATATTTAAATACTTGTTTACAGCACTTGGAGCGTCGTTGTCTACGATTTAATCAGTTAAGACAGAAGTATGCGATAAATACGGATAAACACGAAACGGTGATTAATATCTTTTGAATTCGATATTGCGATATTTTATAACAGGAAGAATGACGTTTTTGATTCTATATGATAATTATATCATTATATGAATGACACTATTATATTTCAATAATTATTATTAAATTAGTCATTCATATAATGATATTATTATTATAGTATCGAAATATTAACTATATTTTGGGAAAGTCTTTAGTCTACTTTATCTCTATTTCTCTATTGATAATATTATATTAATCAATTAATCAATTGATATTTTATATTATGTTCATAACGCGTTAATATATCCTTTTATTGACTAGAAAAATATTCTGTTGCAATTTTCATAAAATTTTATGTTATGTTCATAATGCATTGATATGCATGTTTTTATTAACTGATCAAATTTAATTTGATTTCTTGTTTTTAATTATTTATATGTTTCATAAATAATTTTTTGCTATATTTTCAAGAATATAAGATTTTTGGCTTTTATTAATATAATATAATTAATAAACAAAAAATCACTCACCACTGTAGAAATTGCCGACGTGATCTCTCAAAGCATCTGGATAATCATTCGGGGTCGTAGCTTCGACATCGAAAGTACCATAAGTGATGTTATGCTCCTTCTTGATAAATTCCACCATTGACTTCATCATAAGCTGACACGTATGCCTACCAGCAACTTGACTTTGTCCATTCGTCGCATAAACAAGATGCACTTTACGCCATTCGTACCTAATTCATGAAAAAGAGAGAAATAATAATAAGAATTTAGGTACACAGTTAATTTCTTCGTGCAACAATTAATTGTATTTGCAATAAAACAGTTACTGCAGAAACATATATAAAACTAGAAAATGATTTTTATTACACTAAAAATATAACCAATCAATTTGTATATGTATATGTTTATATGTATCATATTTTTATAACACTCTAATTATACATACCGATCCATTATAGCTACAAAAATTGGGCGATGTCCCTGAAGGCTAAATTTCCGATTCTTGTAGTCATAAAGTATTCATCTTTACAATCAACCTTTTTTTCGGTAAAATCAAAAGTGAAGCCTCCCGTAGTAATTAAAGGTGCGCCAAAGAATTTTGCGACTCTGCCAACGACCGCTGCGCAAAAAAATCCTCAATTAATATACAGTGTAATAAGAACAGAAAGAAAAGAAATATAATTCAGAGGAAATATGCCATTTACTGAATTTATATATTACTGTATTTTATGAATATAATTACAGAATATTAAAAAATAGTAAAATATTTATACAAAATGTAAAAAAAGTAAATGTTCCATTTATTATTATATCTGATAATTAAATTATTTTGAAACACAGCAGCTTTTATGCGAAAAATTACGAAAATTTCAGTATAATATATTAGAGCAAATATTGTATAATTAAACATAAGCTCTCACAGACGTAATTTATGTGTGGATTAAAGTATAAGCGGTATATCAAGATTTTAGAGTCATTTATTTTCAGACTCCGCGCTTCACTCATCATTATTCTCATAAGCTAATTATATTTTAGAAGAAAAAAAAATAAAATTCTAAAGACTTAAAACAACATACCAACGCAATAATCGCATGCCGGTCCAAGAAACAAGTGCACACAATGCGAATAACTATCAATTGCGCCAATTTGCGCATACATTGCGTCGCAATGGTCATCTTGCGATAGAAACTTCAATTTTAACCAGTGAGGCAGCAAATTTCGAGATCTCGCTTCGTACACTGCTAAATCTGTAAAAAAAACGATATTTTAAAATACATTTTATTAATTTAAATAAAAAATTTTTACACGTACAATTTTTTATTAAAAATGCAATTATTTCAATGTTGTTTGTCATTTAAAAAATAATAATAATTAAAATTCTTCTGATTGTTATATTATTTGCAATATAAATTTAATCACGCAAATTGTACATAACATACAAAAAAATTTAATCCAAAAATTCAATTATATATATGTTATAAAGTTTAATTTTAAGTAAAATTAAATTTAAAAAATATTATGCGCGAAACTTAATTTTATTATTCAGTTCCGCACATTTAACTAATCTCGATGTTTGTCTGAATAATCTTACCAAGAATCGGAAGAACCTTAAGTAAAGAAATTTCGAATCTTGGATCTGCTGGTAGGAGAACAGCTATTCTCAATTCGCAAGAAATAACGCCATCGCGATTCGTGCTGCATAACGCCTCGCAATCACGATGCAGTTGCACTTCGCGACACGTTACTTTGCTCTCCACTCGATGCATAAACCATAAGATCGCCAGCATGACGATCCAATGGGACCCCATGGATACGGACGAAAAAACGACGCAGTTTAAATCGGATTTTTCGCTCCGAATCGAAAATCGCGAAATATCATTGTCTCGACAACGTCACGTACAATACACTCCCTCTGTCACAATCACATAATAAATATTTTTCTCATCGCGAAAAGATCTCGCTATGTAGAAAATCCTGATTCATATAAGCTCACTTGTCAGCGTATTGCAATTCTGCAAACCGTCGTAATGCATTCTTATTAATTTTCACAATGTCGAACTATATCAGGATTCGAGTTATTTCACTAGCTTTCGTTAACAGAGAACCATATGCAGCTTCATTTGTCGCTTTCTCAAATTAATTATTCTCTAATGAATCACACGAATGTATTATCCACATACGTACTATACTTTATACAATCTTTGTCTTTATTATAATAAAAGTACAAGCAATACTGATTGCTTGTAATTATTTAACATTAATGTAAGTAAATACTTAAGAGAATGAGAAGAAATTAATCTGTATATATATATACACATGTATATGTAATTACTTACTTATCTTTAAAAGAAAATTAATTTTAAAATATAATGTAAAAATTTTAATTAAATTTAAATAAAAAAAGTATCTTTAATTGTCAATTTTGTAAATTAAAATACAACTTCACTGAATAGATACTTGTCAAAATTACTTCTTTTTGCAGATCTTGTAAATAATATATTTATTTAACACCAATATAATTTAATTTGTATTATCTATAATTTTGAGGACCGGAAAAAAATTATTTAAAAAATTACAGATAATTAAAATTGCTTTACAGTTAATATCAACTTAAATGTTATCGGTGGTTTTTCATTTAATACTCCATATCGCGCTAATATTTTTAAAACGGATATCGTGCGGCATCTCCAAGTACTTCAAGAATTTTATCAGCTAATGTACGATGCAAAGAATTTTTATAAATAAGTTATCACAAGACTTTGCTAAATCTAAAACCACCGACAAAGATCATTAATATTTATTTACATTCGGACGATGCACAGGTATAAAAATTACATTGTTTCACGCGTTATTTGTCAAATCAGATTTGGAAAGCCGACCTCGTGACACGATTAAACGTTTAGAGAATCGAAAAAATATAATTAAGATTGTGTGACTATAAGAGAAAGCGTCATCGCGCGGTTCTGCGAATATTCGACAGTGAGAAACCGCGATTCACATCGAGATTGCCGGGGATACACTGGCACCTCGATCACGCGAACCGTTTTGCCCTACTGACGAGCAAGCACCAATGTCATCTCACCGCCCCGTCATTATCACGACGGATATCTCGCGTCGATTGATAGTAGTTATCGAAAGCTCCAATGTGCACACTCACTTGTCAGCTCCCTCCCGCCGGGGTTGCCGTATTTTCGCAGGATCGAGTTTCTTCAAGGGTTTCCTTGGCCATATAAAATAGTGCTTCACTCGAAGGTTTGCCCATGTAATAGCAGATAGACTTCGCTGTATATTACTTTTCCATTTAAATGCTTTTCCATCAGAAAACCATTTCTCTGCGATATTTCATTCACGACAGTCCGTATGCATGTGTCTAAAATATTTAGAATAAAATATTAATGTAAAATCAATGACATTAAAATTATATTATTATATTAAAATATAAAATATATATATATATATATATATATATATATAGAATATCGTAGGGTAGCAATATAAATAAATATATATATTATTTTATTATTTATTATTTATACATATATTATTTTTTGTATTTTTTAATTATTTTATTTATATTAATTGCTATCCTCTCGATATCCAAGCTTTTGGTACATATATATATATATATATATATATATATATATATATAATAATAATTAAAAAATACAAAAATAATATATAAATAATAAATAATAAATTATATAATAATAAATTATATATATATATATATATATATATATATATATATATATATATAATTTTATTTATTATTTATATATTTTTTGTATTTTTTAATTATTTTATTTATATTGCTATCATCTCAATATCCAAATTTTTATTACATATAAATAAAATGTATTCGTGGATGTGTGTGTAGTAAAACACTTAATATTCATATCAAATCTGCTTTTAATATTTCCTAAAAACAAGATAATATTTTATGAGACAAACACACAATAATACTTTATGAAAATATTAACCTTATTTACATTATACTTAGAATCCTCGTTTCTATATGAATATTTCAATTTAATAGTGCACAGCAATCTCATTAATTTAGTAAAGTGAAAAATGTTTAAAATATATCTCTTTCAGACTTTCTCGATGCCGCCGTATGATCTCTAATGCTTTCATCAACATTTCTCAATTTCGTATGTGGTATACTAAATCAACTTACCAAGTTTAGGACGGAAAAATATTAGAATTTCGAGAGAAGCCTCGAGCGCGGCAAAATGTTGGGAGGACGATTCCACTTATATTTATCTGGACGAGTCCATCAATCTCTCGCGCATGCGCATCATCAGTTCTTCGCACCGAGAAATGAGAGTCCTGCGATCGCATTTTAAATCATTGAAACATGCATTAAATCGAAACAGGCAATCGTCCATTTTGATCATCGCTTAAAAAAACAATCCAAAATCATGTTCCTACTTTTAATTTAATGTTGCGCAAGCTAATTACTTTTATTTCTCGATCTATACTTACAAGCGTCGAAGTATCGCGCCGCAGCTTCGAGTCACAACGCACGAATATTTAGACGCGCGTGTCAGTACTTAAATTGTGTCCCCGAGCGCCATCTGATTTCATCCGACAAGGCAAACATGGCTGTCGCTAGCCAATAACAGCGCTCCATATAATGTCGATTCCGAAGGTTCGACTTTCCTATCTCATTCTTACAGTATAATCATAGCTTATAGAAAAGGCGCGCAACAATGAAATTAATTGTATTAAATTGAATCGCATTTCAATAAAATATAAGACGCTTTTTCGAGAAGCCATAAAAAGCTTGTCCAATTCAAAAACTTATTGATGAATAAATTTTCCACTAAAATATTTATGAATGTCAATACACTTGGAAAAATAATAAAATTGCTCAAATTTGATACAAATAATTAATCTCTCTAGAGACTTTCTAAATTATTAATTACAGGACACTTAAATTAAATGACTTTACATGCTTATTTGACATGCTTATTTACACTTGGATTAATTTAGCAGCACGCTTTTACAACATGATTAATTTATACAGTGCATGCAAAAAGGAGAGGGATAACAATATTGTGGCTTTTTACTCATAAAAAATCTAGTATTCTTGTGTAGGTATTATATTTCGAATATAGCTTTTGCACAGCCTTTGTATCCTCTCTATTCAATTATTCTCATATATGAAGATTCATGTTCGATATTAACAATAAAGCATCACAATATCTTCTTAAGGATATATTTCACTGGTATTTTTAATAGTTTCTCAAACATCCACATCCTACGATCAAATCGCAGCGCGTGGCTTAATGCTTTTAATGAGGTGTAAGTTTATGCAATTTCTTAATTACGTCTTAATTATTACATGCCCGATATATCTCCAAATATTTAATTCCACGTTTTATATTACTTATGTTCTTCGTTCGAAGAATAGATTCGATGCGATGTTTTCGTTATTTTTATACAAGATGTGATAGAAGAGGTCTCAACCAAAATCTTAGATTTTAATTTAAAAAGCAAAGAGAAAAAGGGAAAAAAAATATTTCCATATCCCAATAAGGAAGACACAGAGCACACACACGCACACACAATTATATGTCTTTTGATAATACCTACATACGCGTATCTGTAGATAGTAGTGAAAGGACGATGGAGTACATTAATGTTTGTAATGCAAGATTACGGTTTAATGCCTAACTACGATCACTATTATTTCGCCTACTTGTTGAAACAAGTCACAAACTCAAAAATTATATATGCCGTATAATACTCTACAAAAGTATGCGTTTTTTATGCATACTGCATATATATATAGTACATTCCCATATCTGTAATTATATACATAAATATATACATACCTCAAAATTATACAAAATTTCCATCTCAAATCGTATTAATTTTTCAAAAATCACAATCTTTGTACCCAGTTCGTGTGCAATTCGTTAATTTACCATTTCATTTTCACTTGTCCAACACAGAAACATTTGTAATACAAACAAATTGGTGTACAAATATCCGCAATATATCTACATATTTCTTTTTCTTTTTAACTGTACATTATAAGAGTAAAGAAATTTCGCTTGTATTTTAAATGTTAATTTAATACTTCCTTACTATTTTTTTACGTGTATTAATATAATATGTAAACTATATTCTGTATACATAGCTCGTATCAAAACCCGAAATTAATGTTACATATATATATACGCGATTGAAATCAAAATGTATACTTTCTTCTATAATGAAAATCTTATTGTAGGGCTTTAGAAATATTTGAATGATTATAATTATACATCTTGTAATATGTATTATTTTCCGTGAAAATTCGCTTTTATATAACCCATTGTTAATTAATAAATATTTACAAGCGATTATATTAGATCGTATTTTTACTAATCATTATTAACAAAACGCATATTCAAAACATAATTCGGTATTTCACTTTCTTGCCAATATCTCACTTTCACGTAGTTATTAACATTGTAGCATTGTTTGATATCAAATATCTGATAACGCTCTAAGTAAGATGTGATATCATGGAATTTTAATCGATTTTCGGATGTTAGTAATATTGTATAATATTATATACAATATTAATTTCATAATAATATAATAATAACATTCCATAATATTGCATTATTATATTATTATTATTACATCATTGTGCATAATTTTATAATATTATTATGTATATTTTACGATATTATATATATATTTTTTTAATTGCAAAATACAAATTATTCCATAATATCACAACTACTTGAGTTTCATGGATATACTATGCAACTACATATGAACTTTATATACTCAACTATATACATAATTATAAATATCGAAGTAGCAATATGTTTTACTCATATATTTGCGTTTATAATACATTTTAATGTTTGTTAAAAGAATATTTCTTAAAATTTCAGTGAAATACCAAATCATTAAAATTTAACATTATTATATAGCAAGAGAAGTAATATTATTAATACATTAATTTCTCAACAAATTGACAATTTAGAGATATAAAAATGAGAAACCTATATTATACAAAAATGTGAATAAAATGATCTAAAACGAGATCAATAGTCAAGATATAATAGATTTTTCTTTTTAACTATTTTAGGACCACACTACATGTCTTTGCATGAGAATAATAATAATAATAATATTTACATCTTGATGTAATGATTTTTATATTTTAAATGCAAATGATATTTTATCAAATGTCTGTGCAGATGTTGGCTTTTTACTAGCTTTTTAAATAACATAACATAAGCTTCAAAGTTTGAAAATATCTACTAAAAATTATTATATATTCACAATTAATGATTGTTTGCAATTCTAAACGTGGATATATATATATATAGGCATTTTGTTATCAGCTATTCGCGAAAAATGGTGCAATACAATAATTCTGCCATTTAACAATTTCCTTTTACACATTCACACGAAATAAGTACCCCAATCAAACATTTTACAATATGTTCTTACTTCATAAATTAATTATATAAAAAATTATTAATTTACTATAACACATCTAACGTTTTATTTTAAATTGTAGTATCCAGCCTTCTTAAAAACGCTTCATTTTATTATGTATTGTAAGTCTTTCTATTTTTTATTTTTTATTTTACCTTAGGAAAATGGTCTCGACTTCTATCGTGTCATAGAGCGTAGAAGAATTCCAGATATGGCCAAAGCAAACGACGACAATCGTTTACATCCATGGGATGTATTTATGTGGCGTTTTTAAACATATTGTTCGTTCCTGAACATAGTGCGTCAAGCGCATATATAAATTATAATTTATAGTTTCATACAGGAAGAGTCAGTCGAAGTTTACTTCCCTATTTGTTGGGAAATTTCTTTTGTTGTCTCAGCAAACCATAAATCAAAGTCAATGACCGACTAAGTTTTTCCTTCAGATGTCACTATGACAGATTAATTGTCATTCACACTGGACACTCATCATCAGACATTTCGTTCTTTGCGTACATTATCGTGAACACATTGGATTCACTCACTAACCACTTGTCTAAAATATAAAATTTTTCAATCAAGTTCTGATTCATTTTTAACATTTTTTTTAAATATTAGTTATTGGTATCCATATCAAATTTTCAAATTTTATTACTAGAGTAGTGAGATAATTTATAAAATATACTTACAATTATATCACAATAAAGGAATCTCCGTATTGATGCGTCACTCAAATGCTACAAATAAAAAAATATTTCAATCTTCCCTGCGTTTACTAATTAACATATATTAAAAGCCATATTAATAGCGAAATTAAAAGAAATCTAAAATTATGTATTACGGGAAGGAGATCTAGTATCAGCTTGATTTGGTGCTCCATCCATTGGTAACCGTCCGCTGCATACACTTCCACTTGATGGATTGTAATTAAGAAAGTCCCAAATGAGTATTGTATCATCATGAGAGGATGAGACGATTTGGAACTCGTCAAACTGAAGACGAAATACGCGTCCAGTGTGTTCCTATTAAAAATATAATTGTTTAGAATTTAATACAAATTGTTTCTGATGAATATAATAAATATATAAAAGAAAATAGAGAAATAAAATCTTACCACCAAGGTCCGTAAACATAATGTACTAGCAACGGCACGAGGATCTAAAGCTGCTACCAAATCCCAAACTTTAATTTTTCTGTAATATAATAATAAATATGAATTAGATGGTATATTTTTTCTCGTCATGTTTAAAAAATTATGAAGTAAGGTAAAGCATTTAAATCATTTTTAAATTATTAATGTAAAAATTTTTAAACAAATAACATGGAATTATTTAAAATATTTTTTATTTTTTGTTCATTAAAACTGTATCATAAATAAAATTTGTTAATTTTATTTTTCTACAAAAGAAAAAATAAGAATTATATAAATAATGATAAAAATCTCCAAGTATATAATGTAAACATAATAAATTTTCTACACAGTTGCTAAAAAGATTGCTACTTCCACTTAATGCAAAATTAAAATTAAGATGTAAGATTTCCATACATACCCATCATAAGCACCACTGACGATGTGTTTACTATCAAATCGAATACATCTCACTAATTCCTCGTGTCCTTCTAAAACACGTAGGCATGCGCCACACTCGATATCCCACAGTCGTATAGTATTATCACTACTACCACTAACTACTAAGCGATCCCTATATTGCAAACACGCTATACCGCGCTTATGTCCGTTCAACGTTCGCACAAACTCGCAATTAGATGTATTCCATACTTTAATAGTTCTATCACCACTAGCGGAAACTATATATTTCTCGTCAAAATCGACCACGTTCACCGCTGCCCTGTGTCCCACTAAAACTCTTCTTAATGCAATCTCCGTCTGCGATGTCATATCCCAAACCGCTATTGAACGATCCTGTGAATAATATTTATTATCAGCAATAATCCTAATTGTTTATAAATTAAGAAATATATAAAAATCCACTATTCTTTCTTCACTGACCTTGGAACATGTAACCATCATGCCGTTGTTAAATCTAAGATGCAAAACCGCCTCGCAGTGATGAATTAGCGTATTAACCATTTCGCCTGTATTAGCGTCCCAAACTCTCACAGTGCTATCCGAAGAACCAGATATTATAGCCTTATCATCATATTGCAAGCACAGCACAGAACCTGTATGTCCCGTTAACACCTTAATGCATTGCAGAGTATTTCTATCCCAGATTTTAATCGTGTTGTCACGGAGTCCGGAGACTATCTTCTGATCATCGTATTGCAGACAGTAAACACCTTTCGAATTCTCGCTACGGCAATTAATTCTCTGAAGATTGAACCGACCCATTCTCCAATTATTTTCTATACTCTCGATATCTTTGACAATTTTTGGATAAAGAGATCTATAGAAATTATGATTGGGAAATGCTTCGCCCGGTTTCGGTTTAAAGAGGTACTGTATCCTGAAAACAAAAATATACAGAAAAATGTATATATGTATATATATATGTTTATTATAATTTATAAAGATGTTATGCATATGTATCATTAGCATCATTATATATTGAGAGTTTTATGTCTCATAAATTTACTCACCATCCTCTTCTTTCGGCCAATCCCCTCCAGACTGAATCCGTTCGAACCTTGCGTTCAATCAATTTTTTCCAAAGCATTCCTTCGCTGATTACTCTATGCCATTCCTTGCATACTAGTTCTGCAGAAACGAGTGATTTAGCGTCTAAGTATGAAAGTATACTTTCTGCAACGTGGTCCAATCCTTTTTCTGTAAAATATTCGATATTATTAAAGTTGAAATACAATATACATAATTATGTTATACATAAATATTGTTAAAGAATATGTCGATAAAAAATATTGGATACATAAAGTGTAAATATTTAATTACTCACTTGGCAAAAGTGAGATGAAGTCTCTCTGCAGCATCGGTTTGAGATACGCGTTGATGTGTCCATGCTGATAATGGCACATTCGTGCTAACAGCTGTTCGACAAAGTGCACTTGCTCCGGCTCGCTCCATCTTTCAAATAGCTTCATACAAATTTCTTTTTCCTGTACATATTGCGTGGTTACTCCTGTAGATGGTTCCTTCTTGCAACTCGGATCGTACAGTATCGTCATGGGATACTGTAACAGAATATTAACCAATTACACACTTTCTTCTATGTCATAGAGTATAAAGTTTAAACACACACACACAATATATTCTATATTGTAAATGCATACCGCGATTTATGAAAAATTATAATATAATATATATGATGATATATAGATCTCTTTTTTTATTAACAATAAATTAAAATTAATGGAGACTTATTATCAGAGAAATAGTCATTATTTATATATTATCGCGTATTTATTTACATTTAATTATCATATACGTAAATCGTAAAAATGTAATATATATTTGAGTTCCTTTATATTTTTTATACACGTATGTAACAATCTATTTTTACTGTATCACCGATTAATCGGAGCGCAAATAAATGTGACTAAGAAATATCATGTCGTACAATGTACATTATCGTATCGGTCTATACATTGTTATTTCACGATTAATCGCTTAAATGATATGCATTGGAAATCGACAAATTGTGCAAAGCATTCGCGTTCAAATATGCAATTTCCAAGAGAAAAATATTCAAGTTATCGTACAAATATGCCTTATCAATATAATTATGAAATCAACTACGTAGCTCAATCAGTCTTACATTTTTAGCAAAATGAATTTAAAAAATAAGGAGCAAATATTTTATCTAAAACAAAATCAATAGTTAATCTACATAAAAAAAGGCACTAATAAAAAATATAAATTTAACTTTATTGTTTTTTCATAAACCAACAATTATCGATACTGTTGTCGATCGATATAGTGATAGACAAACGAAAATACAAGGATTTTAAATTAATTGCTTTCCTTCTTCCATCAGAAAGAACAATCGTAAAGATAATCGATTTCCTGCCAACGTGTCGTTAATCTCACTTATCTCTCGAAATAATATATATAGATAAATCTGAAAAGTCACAATACGCCAATCAAATTCAACAAAAATTATCAGATAGCTTATCTACTCTTTATCTAACTCTCATAGGTATATCAGATCGATTCAAATCGAATTCTAAAATAAATATATCACTTGGAAACATTACCAGGTAGCAACAAATTATTGATACAAGAAAAGACGTGTCATAATGATTGAAAAAAATTAAGTAAACTATTTATTTTAATATATATTCATTTAAAATAAACGATTTAAAATTTTTCTGCAAAAAAAATTCACGTGGACTTAGAGCGATCTGATAAATAAATATACGTTTGCTAGAATCGTGGATGTATCTCGAGACAGAGCAAAGTACCGGGTTCTTGACCTCTCGTATCTCATAGCTCTTATAAATTAATTCGTTTACGTGCGTCCTGGTTTGTGTCGAGCATCTCGTTTTTCTCGTTAATATCATATAATCGTTGGTGATCACATTTCAAGCAACACATAAACAGATATTTCAATTTTAACAAATAATCATTTTAATAAGACGCGTTTTAACTAAAATTTTAGCATAAAATTTAATTGAAATTAAACAAGGTCAACGCGTATGTAATCGATTCGTATATAGGTAAATATAAATTACGATTACATGAACGAATAGTGACGGTGACAAAATATGCGAATAAATTTATGCCATTGTCACGTAGCATTAAAATTGTTGGCATATATGTCATTCAAGTATGACTAATCAAGTTTTACACAGAAATTCAGGCACGTAGCGTAAATGCGCACAAGATGCACTTTTCGCGAAAGAAAGCAGTCTCACACATTTACACTTTCACTATTTATACGTCATCCTTATCGTCGATACTTGCCGCCAATATCCGATAATATTAGTCGCAGGCGATATCATCAAGAACATCTTGCCATATAGATAAAAATAGAATGTAAGAACGCGTATTGATCAAACCTAATCCTCGCATATCCTTTGTCGAGATTTTTCTATCACACTTTCGCTTAAAAAATTTTCTATTTAAAAAACAAAGAGAATAAATCGACAAAATAAATATATAATGTGTGTATTGTACATTTTAATTTTACATTAAAAATATTAAATACATTTTTATTATAAAAATTATGTCAACTATATATGATAAAATGTATAATATGCGAGGATATAATGGAAAAGAATATATATTCTCTTTTCTTTTTTTTACAAATATAACTTTCAACTTATCAAAATTTCGTGCTTAATTATCAGAAATTATTTATCATCCCGATATTTGAGTTCGATTAGATTAGATAATTTAAATAAATGTGACGTAGCAACTCATTACCTATGCTAACACATTATCGTGCTAATCTAATTTCAAGGATACCGTATTTAGCGTCAAAATGGAATATCATATATGTAATTCTGTTTTGATATGAAAAATAAAATCCTACAACGACGTATCAATGCCATTAAATTACGGATTTATTTCTTTAACATATATTTAATTTTTTCAGTATTATTTCTCTCTTCAAGTTAATTCTTCTCTTTTAATTTATACTCCATATTAATTTCCTTCTAACACTCAAAAGATCTTTCCCAGTCGATTAAGCGTTATCAGAGCTTTATCATCCTACGTAAGTTTACATAATTTTTCCCCGTGCAACGAACCTTATTAACAGAATAACGATGGATTTATCACGGAATCGAAAGGTATATGCACATACATAAATACACAGCGAAACCGAGTGGGCGATATTTTTATAAACGCTGAATTACATTTGCGCGAGCGGAGAAAGTGCATCCGCAAACGCAACAAGAAATGCCACAACATTAGGAGGATGCGCACAATTCGAGAGCAAGATTTTACAGTCAAAAAAAAGCGAAAAAACCATACAAATGCCAAGTCAATCTTAACATTTTCACATTGTTTCGCAACTTCGTCCGGCGCAACATTCTCCAGAAGATGTCCAAGAATCGGTGAAAAATGGTTACTCCTCATGACATTTCTGATTCTCTACCAGCAAAAGTGTTTCTTATATCTTTCAAATTACAAATCTCTAAACATAAAGGGTTCTTTGCCTAAACTAAACTTCGAGGACAGAAGAAATTAAACGCTAAACCATGTTACATTAAATTCTGGATTGAACTTTATAAGCCATATTTTATATCTATATTTTTGTCAAGATTGATTTCATAAGAATAAACGATTCTATATATACGTGTTTGCTATTTCGAGACGGATTTTATAGAATATCTTGTTGAGCATTTCTTTATCTAAAATATAACCGCATGTCATATATATTGAATATAGAAGTGTGTCACACGAGATGCAAGTAAATCCCGTTTTATACGTCTAAGACCAGCAACGATTTGCAGTCTACCTAGAATAATACGAAATCGTATATTTCGCGCCTGACCTACTTGCCGTGGCGTCTCCCCTACCCCAGGAAGTGAAAACCGTCATAAAAGACCCATATCGCGTTAAATACTCGTTAATGAAGACTATGAGCTCTCTGCATCGCAGAAATGGCTATAGAGAGAATAACGGCGAACAGACAGCAACTTTATACGTTTCTAAGAATACAAATTCGATCGACGAGCTTGCAAGAAATTCATATATCTGACATTTAAAATTTCGAATTTTACGCCGACTTTCGCTCCATTATTTTTGAACTAAAAAAAATGCCACTTTCTCTTGGAAAAAAGAAACGTCATAAAATATGACACCTCTAGGACGAAATATTTCTCTTGAAATTAAAGAGAGTTATTATCAAATTTCATGACGAGTGTTGAAAGATCTTTGAAAAGATCGTTTAAAAATCGATGATTTCTAGAAACGTCCCTTATAATGTTATTGTAACACGAAGAGAGAGACGAGTCTAGCGGTGCGCGCGATCATCTGAAAACGCTTCGAGTGCTCCCGAATAACGGTATCGCGAACTCGTGTCGAATCTACGCTCTCCTGATTCTTTTGTCTTCTTGAATGTCGTCCCCGTGTGCCTGTTGCCACGACTAAAATCTACAATGTATACTGGAAATCCACTGACTGGTGAATCGATTGACTTTTCTCTAGAAATCTTTTTTTTTTTCGGAAATTTTAATAGGTGATTTTTAATAAATGTGACTCGAATCTTTCTCCTCTTTGAAAAGATTCTTAAATGTCCGGAAATAAGAAAAATTAAATTTAATTCTTTCCTTTCCTTATAATTACTGAAAAAAAATTGACGTTAATCATTAAAAAAAATTGAAGTTACCTACTTATTTCCTTTCCTTTTCGATCGCTTATATTATAGAAGACTTTGATGTCTCAATATCTATTTTAAGGAGATTGTATATTTTAATTTTCGCTATAAGAAACATTGCCACGTGAATCACATTTATTTATTATCCAATATTTTCTATATATAAAACACTGCAATTAGACTGCAATTTGTTTATTAATATTATCTCTTAATTTTAATTAGATTTTGTATTTTTACTTTATTTTTATTTAATATTATTTTTGATTAATTTTATTTTTATTCTTTAATTCTATTTTTAATTTCTCTTCAGGTATTGATTACTTCATTTCAACGTAAGTATTTATATTCTCAGTATATTTGAAATAGGTAAAAATTGTCTGTCTGGCAACTGCAGGTTTTATTTCGCTGAAACTTGATCGTTGTCTTTTAATGCTTTGAATGCGTTTATAAGGAAGTAGTGTCGCAAGGCCCGAAATGTACGAATGTTTCGCGGAATGAATCGAGAAACAAGTTTTTGCTCCGTGAATTCGCTCGTCTATTCTGGCACAAAGAGGTCGACAACTTCTGAAGGTTTAAGAGAAGCGGCCGCCGGAGATCGTGACGTTAGAAAGCGTAAAGAGAACATTAAAATTAACAATGGACTCTGACACACCGCACAAATATTCAAGTATCTCGAAGCTAGATAGATAACCAGGAATTTCAAAACGGCTTATCGATTTATCTATTGTGAAAGAACCCAGAGACTGTCTCATCTCAAGCGATTATCTTCAACGATAACTGTCCCGAAATTTAGAGTATACAGTCAAAAAAAATTTTATGGAAAATTTTTAATCTGAAAACCCGATAAGATATATAACTTGAAAACATCTATACTTATTGTTAGATCCCTCTCTCGTGAAAGTCTTTGAAAAATAAAAATAGAAAGGTGTTATTTATTACGAACAAAGAATCGATTTCTTGCACGATATTGCCGATTCCACGAGTACATCAGGGTCAGATATCACGATGTTTCTCGCAGTGTCTCTTTTATCTCGGGCAACGAAACCGAAACTTTGCAGCGACGCCTAAAAAGGAAAGACACCTCCTACTTAACATTGCTTGTGTACACGTCATTATGCAAAAGCTGCGGAAGGGCACTGCGAATTTATATCCGCCACACACACACACATGTACAAGCATGCACACGTATACTTCCTGATTATTTATTTTATCTTTCACTGACGTACGAATGGACTTCCGCCTTGCGCTATAAAGATGGGAATACAAAAGGCATTTGCTTCCTCTTGGAATCAGTAAAAAAAAATAAGAATTTGCTCTCCTTTTGAATAAACATTGGAATTTATATTTAATATAAAAAAATGAAAATAACGGAAAAAATAAAATTTAAAGAATTAAGAATAAAAAATTGTTTAAAAATTTAATTATGTCCCTCCTGAAAAAAATCCTGTATGGACACCCATGGATATAGGCAAGATACACAGAGATAATTTTATCTAAGAATTTATCCTGAAAATCATAATAATCGTGGGGCAATATGATATTGAAAGAATTTTATAAGAATTTCTTTCTAAAAAATATTAATATTCTACCACAATAAGATATAAAATATATATTCGATTAATTTTATTATGTACATACTTAGTAAAATTTACTATGTACCTATTAATATTTTCTATTGTAAATATCAGAGAAACTTGTAAAATTTCTCCCACGATTACCATGATTTCCAGGGTAAATTCTAAATTCTCTCCGCGTACAAATCTAAACCGCTTCACTCGCGAATGGCAAAACGGTGATGGATCCGCTACCGTTATCGTGAACACGCTTTTTCGACGTTTATTTCTCGTCCTCTCCTCTCGTATATATAAAGTTCATTAACATCGATGACCTGTCGAGTGTTGTATACGCGGTATTATTATTATTAAATTGAATCCATTGTGACTGAATACGGAAGAGTATATCCTTTTGGAGTTTACGATCCCCTACATGGTAACAAACATGTATCCGGAAGATACTTTTATAACGATTATACTCTCTTATAATGCTCTTACAGACAATAACTGTCAATTTGAATTCAATGGACTAGTAAAGAGCCAGACGCGGATGGTAGTGCGTCAGTTTCGAAGAAGAATTAATTTTCCTTGAAACTGATTAGCGCTGTATACAGGGCACAAATATTTCCTGACGCGATACCAAGAAATTAAATGAAACTTATTGTTAGTTTGAGATTTATTTAATTTCTTGGTATCGTATCGAAGAAAATTTGTGCCCTGTAACAGAGCTAATTAATTTCAAAGAAAATTGATTCTTCCTCGAAACTGACGCGCTACCTTATTAATTCGTTAAATTCAAATATAGTTATTACATTGAGAACTTTATTAATGTTTGTTTATTAATAGCTTTGCATATAATAGCTGTGGTAAATAAAATTTTAGAAAAGTAGAATTTTTTGTGTAGAGTATATTAATTTCGAAAGTGAAATCTTCCTAAAAAGTAGTTCAAAGTCTCGCTGATTTCTAAAATTGCTATACTATGTTGCATAACTACGTGCAATTATATAAATCATTATCATATTAATGGAATAATTCAGTAAGGCTTTATTACATTTCTTTTTTTTGTGAAATAAATTGGCTTGGAACATTCTTTACTTAAAAACTGCGACAAATATTAATTTGATTAATAATTAGAAAAATAACTTTTCTGTATTATGTTAACAAGCTTTCCATTTTTATTGATCGGATTTTAATTTACCTAAAGGAGAGAGAATGGCCATACATATACATAGATATATTTGACGATAAGGTTATGGAAGTTTTCAACTTGGAATATCAGCTTGTTACATCGAGAGTTAGTACTCGAGAATAATAATGTCCAAATCCGTGAATATATTGACGTAGGTAAATTCGCGCGACCTTCTCGCTCAAGGATCGCAATCTGTCCCTCTCTCCCTCTTTTTCTTTCTCTATCATCGACAAACTGACGTTTGAAAGCCCGTTTGCTCATATTTTTTATTGGAACAGCATTATTATCCATCAACTGTGAAATGTACGGAAATTACAAATGTGTACTAATCTAATCAACTATGAAACAGCCTCTTAACAGATATGAAGAAACCGAGTTAATTGAGATAAAAAACTAACACATTAAGATATCGCAAATGTAATTTTGTTAATCTATATATTAAAAAATATATTTCTTTAATCACACAAAAATCTAAATTATATCGAAAAAAAAAACGAGAAGAGAAAAGAGAAAGAAGAAGAAAGATGGATATGTTTTGACAAATTTTAAATTAATTTTGCCTTATAAAAAATGTTTAATATTTGTATATTGTATAAATTAATATCGTATTTATTAATTCTATCGTTTTCTAGTCTATAAAATAAAGATTTTCGCACGTATTTTCCATTACAGGAAGAAATTAACGAATGCGTGTGATATGATTTATGAGCGCAATGAGCGTAGGAGGGACCATCGTCTAAGCGCGGGATAAGAAGTCGTAGGTGCACTTCCGGTGCGTCGTGTTGCAACAAATGCGTGTCATTACGAGGAATAACGACTGTTATCGTGTACAGTCCACAGAAGTCGACACGCTCGTAAAACTGTCACATATACATACACACAAATTCAAGGTGCGCTGCATATATGGATTAATTGCGCGAGCGACTGAATCGTCAATCAATCTATCGCAATTACACGAACGTTAGGATCAAAATATGCAAGCGAACATTCGAGAGATAAGTAAAACAAGAAATAAAATTCGGCATAATTAATATAAGTATATCTTTGTCACATTAAATTAACACTAAAGAAAAATTTGAAATTTAAAAAAAAATTTCAAATAAGATCTGATGAAAGTAAATATCCGTATATATTTGCTCTTCTCTCTTTTAATAATAAATAGACTGAAAGTAATGAGGTAGGAGAGATTGTGTGCACATGTGCGTGCAAAGACTGTCCTTGTATTACAAGAATCGAGGAGCGTGTTTATCCTTGTATAAAGCAAAACGATCAATTTAAACACGAGTCGAAGCTATCAAGACTCTCGCTATTATCGTCGACGCCTTTTTTCCAGAAAAAGTGAAGAAAGCGGATAAGAGAGTGGATGCACCAAGTCAAAAGTCGTGACGGATCGAATCGAATAGAATCAGGAGGGGTTGCTAGACCTCTCAAGGGACGAGAAGGGGGCAAAGCTAAAGCATCGATTGTGTATAGCGCGCCTGGAGACAATTAAAATCTACACTGTACAAAAATATGTAATACATTACATAAAAATATATAATACAATTACGCATAAATAAATAATTAATGTAAAATTGCGCGATAAATAGTGAAAACGTATGCAATTTTACAATTAATATTTATGTAATTTTACATATTATGTAATATTCTACATTTTTTTATAGCATTATAACGCGCCTGAAAACAATTAGATTCTACACTGTAAAAAAATATGTAATATATTACATAAAAATATCTAATAAAATTACATAAGTAATAACTGTAAAATTACACGATAAATAATGAAAACGTATACATTTCGTGCAATTTTACAATTATTATTTATGTAATTTTACATATTTTTTACATTGTAACTAATCGGACATGTGTTACCCGCCAGACATTAGATATTCTATTCAGTTATCATTATTCTCATTTTTTATGTGAAAGAAATACAATAATTAAATCTCAAAAGGAGGACGATCGAAAATTTCCATCTTTCTACGAATGCTCCGAAATGAAAATCGATATCTCTAATTTGGTGACGTGTAAATAAAGAGTCAGTTAACGGAGCATGATTGGCTATTTTTCTTGTTACGCATTTATAGATGCAACGCGTCGTCTAACGAATGTCAATTATAACACCTAATGTGCATACGTCATACGTCATATCGTACGATCGCGCGGCGATCTGTAAAAGGCGTCGCGTCAAGGATTCACGATTTTAATGAAAAAAAAAGGAGCGAGAAAGAGAGGGGACGCGAGGATTTCGATTTGCATCCATGATTTGCAAACAACAGCCGTTATAACATGCGCGATGACAACTAGACCTCACGTCGTCCTTCACGTCGATCGACATGTCAACATCCAACCACGAGTCCGGAGTGTTTTTTTTTTGCATTTAAAGAGAAATGAAAAAAGTCAACATTTTTTTAAGAATCGAAAGATTGAACAGAAAATCGCGATCGAGAGACGCGACTTGTCAGACGCGAACCTAGAAATGATTTCGCCAGGAAATTGCTGTAAGGACGATCCCCTTAATTAGAGAGATAATTGTCAGATCGACAAGTATAAACAATCAAGATGTATCCGATAACTCCTCCTTCTCTCTCTCTTCCTCTAATATAAAGGACATAATCGGTCGCGACGCTCTCGTACAATTCAAGCTTGACCTCGAATATCTCGGGAAGTAAAAGCACGTGCAGGACGGACGATTCGGTCGGTCGCGAGGAGGCACAAGATGGCGATGATAGTTTTTTTTCTCACAAGGTGAGGAAACGTCGCGCGGACAGATTGCCCAGTCATTCATTCACTCGCTCGCTCGCTCGCTCACTCACCTGCTGACTTGTGTTCGTGTCGTCGATAATCTTGTCCGTTTCCATGTTGATCATCTCCTATCTCGTCCTGACGAGACGTCCGCCGTCGAGCGACTCTCGGCAAAGCTGGCGCTCCGTACGCTTTCTCGCACCGAGTTAACGCGTGGCTCCCGATACAGACGACGAATTATATGTATATATTCGGAATTCCTCGGAAGAATGGCTGACTGGTGAGAGAGCGAGAGGCTCCACGAGGCGCGTCCTTTGTGGCTTTTAATCGACGGATGACGGCAGATAATAACGGCTAGGCTACGAAAAGTCCCTCGCCTTGCATATTCACGCAGGAAGTCGGCGGGACAACATTTTTTCACATCAACCAACACAATCAACGAAAATAATGACGTGCAGTCACGGGGCGTCCCTCGATTCTCTTCCGCGCGTCGCGATGACGTATCCGGTCGCGAGACAGGGTATATCCAAGTCTCCTGATTTTTCTCTCCTCTGAGATCACACGATCGCGATCGGCGAACTTCCTCGCGGCGCAGACAGTGCCGAACTGGGCCGAGCGAATGAACGGACGGACGAGACGGGACGATGACGGACGCCGCGCGCGCGAGACGCGACTCCGAGAATGCGCGATTCGTTATGGCCGGGAGCGGGATCCCGCGATTGGCCGGCGCAACGATATTGCGGTCGGGGAGAGATGTGGCTTTCGTTTCGGTTGCGTGCGAGATAATGCGCGAGCGATAACGCCTGCTGCCCTGCCGACGCGGATGTCGCGAATCGACTGCTCCGAGATCGCGTTCGGAAAGCTACCTCGTTGAGCGGAGGCCGCCCTCGAGCGACCAATCGGGACGAAGAGATCCCCTTGCTCCGATTGGTCGATCAGACGCTGCTCCAGCGTAGCTAGATTTCCGAACGCAGTCGACGAGTACGATACTTTCAAAATGGCGCCTGCGGCGCGCGATATTTGAATCTATAATTCTCGTGATAACTTTTATTTCACAAATGTAATAACATAATGATCTATAGAGAAAAAAAATCTGTCGTTATTAATTTTTGTTTGTTAAAAATTATAATTAAATAAAGTATATATATAAATATATATATATATGTATATACTATATAATTAAAATACTTATATAGTTAATATCATTAAAAAGAATTGAAAATACGAAATATGTAACTGCATAAATTCTTCTAGAAAATAAAAAAATTAACAAATAAACAAGAATGAATGATACTTTTGTATTGTACTTCTAATACTCTATTTTTAATACAACTGTTTGTATTAGTTATTTTCTTGCATGTATGTATTGGAATTTGAAATAGCTATCTTAAAGATATAAGCAAATGAGAAGAAAACACAACATGGATTACAAAACTAAAACAAACAGATGTATAACATGTACACATTTTAATATCTTTAAGGATTTGTCTTCATCTTATACCGAGATGATATATTCTCTTTTATGTTGATACAGGTTTCAAAAGTTTTAACCAAAATGTCAAATGTGATTAAAATACTTTACGCGTATATAGGAAATAGTCTTCACTTTTATATCCACTTAATTTGTTCGTTCTTGTTTGATTTGCTGTCTGATTGAATTTGTAATGTAAGTGCAGTGTATGGTTTATTACAGTATGGTGAATCTAATGGAGGATAATAATGTCTGTAGCAAATATATGTTAAACAATACCCTATTATTGATCCTGCTGCTACGTCTAAAAGAAATTATAAATTAATAAAAAGATAGGATCAAATTATTTTGACAATAAAGTTGTGTACCTTGCCAATGATGATGATAATCGCACGTTCTGCTTAATGCGATGGTAAGAGCGACGCAAAGTGGTAAAAAGAATGTGCACAATCTCCACGATTGTCCTTTTCCTGCCAGACTGAATGTATGTAGTTTTCCAGCTAGATACAAGGAGATGAAACCAAAACTAGCGAACGCAACTAAAAGATAAACATTTTAATTAGAAATGTATGTTATTGTACTATATTATTTTAATCAACTGATACTTTCACACAATTAAAGTTATACAAAATTTGTCCAGAAAAAGAAAAATAATTGTATTTGCAAAAAAATGTGCTAATGATATGCAACATTAACATACATGAGGAATGTCCGCTTGGGAATGACTTCTTTCCATCTCTAATAACAATGGATCTCCAGTGCACTTAAATGTTGGATTTATTTGTCCGTCTGGAAAACACCTCCAGAAGAAATCTGGTCTTGGACGACCTAAATGTAACAAAATAAAGTATAAATATAGTCAATACTCTCTCTTTCTCTCTATCTCTCAAACATTTTATAATCTAACATTTTGATAATATAACATACCTACTATAAGTTTTAAAATGTCTGTAATAAGACCGTTAAATCCTAGAGCTAATGTTACAGATAATACTGACTGTCGAAGATCAACTTTATCTTTGTGCATTATAAAAAAAAACAAATAACAATAATCGGCATCATAAATACAAGAGGCTGAAAAAGAAGCAAAATATTTAATCTAATATATGCATTATCTGCAGTATGTGATATATTTTCTATAAATATATATGTACCCATAATACTGTGGTTGGAACAAAAGAATCTGTTCTTGGGTTTCTGTATAACCACAATTCGTTTTCATGAATTTTTCTCGTAAATGGTTCTGCTTTTTCCAGCTCCCTAAGTCATGAAATTCAAAATATTCCACTTGATTAATAGTACGCCACAATGATAAGAAAAAGGCATTTCATTATCAACTGTATTAAAAAGATAAAACATGTACACCGAACCTCGATTTTTTAGAAAAATATATTACAATAATTTTACTACTTAAATGACATATATATGCTAAATGGAAAAAATAAATTAATAACTCTAAAAACACAGGTTTCTACGTGAAATAAGAATATGAATAGAATATGCATAAAACTGCATGCAGATATTCTTGCTAATTAACATTAATTAATCTCCCGGATAAATATAGACTAAAGTTTAATGACACATAGCAGAATGCTAATTTTCCAATACATTTTGTTTAATTAAACATCCATTAAACGTCAACTTACACGAATAGCACTGCCAGAAAGACACGTAGAACAACGTCGAAACAAAATCCCGCCGAAAGCTTTAATCCGCGTATGTTAGTCATCTCAGTATGTTACACATTTAAACTCGCACCAGCTTCGTTCTATTAAACAAAGGATAAGTCATAACGTTAAACTTAAACAATTCATCGTGTAATAACACAGCTCGCGTCGACGCGTATGGTCGACGGTCGACGCGGAAGTGCAGTCAGATTTGGGACACCCGGTATTTGAAACGTCGATACTACATATGTATGGTAACTCGAACGTTGTCGATAGTAATCGATAAGTCTCGACTGTAGATTACTCGTTGGTCTTCACTTTCCTTTTGTGAAAACCAACCTATATTTTATGCCACATTAGACATTAATTCAATTTGTAGAAAAGTGTAAATATAATTAGTCACAAGTACTGTAGTAATGTAATTATCTGGTGTGGTGGAAATCAGTTTATACCAATCAGCTGCTCACTTTGGCACACAGTGTATAAAATTATGCAATATTCGGTTGCAGAGAATCCTGTTCTGCCAATATACATGTAAGAGGTTTTTACGTTATACAATGTAATTCTGTACAATAAGATTAGTGTAGGAGAGATTGGAAGTATTAATTGTATGTATTTATTGTAGTTGCTGGTAAATTTAGCTTCAGAGAATTAGAGCAACATAATGTTAACATCTGCATCTGCGACACCATCTACCTCTATGGGCAGTTCTGGCCTACCAAGTCCAACAACTGACACGTTAGATGACAATTCGAACAGAGTAATGGTCTATTTACATCAACTCGCTGGAAATTACGAGATGGACGTTGATGTAATATTCAAAGATCATTGTTATGCCCGACCATGGAACTGGAAACCAGAAAGCATTTACGTCAAGCCTGTAAAAAAGTTGTTTTTCTCAAAAACAGTGGAACAAAGTAAGATTAATAATATCTAGATTAAGCTTTAAAATAATGTAATATGAAATAGATATAACAATTGTTCTACTATATTATTTCTTTTATATCTCAGTAATAAACTTAGAAAAGATGAAGAGATCGATGTGGAAAATATTGGCAGCGAACCATCGATACCACTCCTTGATTTAACCAGAACTCGACATCTCATGGACGAATTTCAACGTTTAGCGAGTTTTGCACGACCTGAGAAAGAGGAGGATTGGGATGAGAATATAAATAAAACTTTATGGTCTTCAGTTCAGAATCGTGTGTTCAGCAAAGTAACTCGGATATTGAGTTCGGAGAGACTCGCGAGATTGGCCAAGACTAAGAACTCAATGGAGCCCATTTTTCGAAGAACATCCCTAGATATCTCAGCGAGACGATTTCGGGAAATGTTAGCGTCGACTAATTGGGATTGGCGATTGGCTCAATGGCTGCATAATTTATTATTCGAGCATCTCCCTCAAGAATACTTGGCAATTTATCTCGATATCTTACAAACTCTGAGACAAAAATTCCTCAGCTAATCGATAAGATGATTGCTGTACAACCGAATATTAATGCTAGGGGAGGTTCTATTACATGGGAAACACTCGGATCACTTTTAAAACGATCTTGGGATCCAGTCGCCCCGAGTTTGAGCGGAAGTCGAGTCGTAAATATAATTATTTAATCATTAATGTGCATATTATTATGTCAAGTATGTGAACTAACATAATCGATTGCAGAAGAAACTGCCTGGAAATCCGATTTTAGTAGTAGTACCTTCTGGTATCACGTCAACTGTTTCTTCTCGCCAACATAAGTGGATCACACAGTTAGGATTGTTAGGCACAGTTGCTACTGTTCATACTCAAATGGGATTGGCAGCCAACAGAATGACCATGATGGTATGCATAGATCAATTAGTTCAGGCTACGAGAGCCAAGATACAAGACGTTAGGAGCGACTGTCCCGGTAGACCGATTGTACTCGTAGGTTTCAATACTGGTGCGGCACTTGCTTGTCAGGTAAGTATTTATCTTTTCTCATTTATTGCTCCTTTCTCATTAATTATTAATTTTTATTTACTCCATGGTATAGATTGCTCCGATGGAACATATAAACGCTGTTGTCTGCATCGGATTTCCTTTCGCAACAGTCGAAGGAAAGCGCGGTGCGCCCGACGACATGTTAATGGACATTCGCTCTCCCGTGATGTTTATTATCGGACAAAACTCCACTCTCGTTAGACCGGACGATTTGGAAGATCTCCGAGAGAAGATGCTGGTAGAAACGAGTCTAGTGGTTGTAGGCGCAGCTGACGATTATCTAAGAATATCCACATCCAAGAAAATACTAGAGGGTATCACGCAGAGTATGGTAGATAGATGTATACTGGATGAAATTGGCGACTTTGTCGGTAGCATTCTATTGCAACCGCATCCGTTACCGTTGCGATCCACGATGCCGACTACTTGCGAGAACAAGAGCAAAAAGGAGTCTCACAAACGAAGAAACTCGACCAGCAGTTCTGTGGAAAGCGAGCCTAATTCGCCGACCGTGAAAAAATCCCGGCCGAATACGCCGGTATCCTCCGCGCCATCAATCGCTATGAACACGACAACGACAAATTCGCCTTCCAAAACAGGTACGTTCAGCACTCAATCTAACCTTGTGCAGGCGAGTGGACAACACACGAATCATACATCTACTCTAAAACGGAAGCGACCTACGAACAATCAGAAAAATCAAGTCGCAGAACTGAAGACTTCTAAGCCTCCTGCACAGGTAATTATTACACAAGTTGTGACTATATTATTTATAATATGTATAATTTATAAAATATTCGTCTCATGCTTGTTGATACATACTGGCTCAAATATTCTCCCTCAAATTTTTTTAAGAAAAAACGAATCATTATTTGAAATATTTATAACTGTTCTGCAATATGTTTTGAATAACAGTACTCTTAATAGTTAATTATATATTATTTATTACAGACAAATGTCAATGCAGAAAATGGTATAACGCTCAATATAGGTACACTAGCGAGTCTAGCGCCGATAGGACCGATACGTTTAGCACCTACTACGAATCAATCCACGATCACTCCCACCAAAACGTCTAACACGTCCAAAACCACAACCGTCAGCAAAGTACCGAAGATCATTTCAAATGTACCGCTGCACAATGTTCCAAAAATGAAAATACTGTCCACCAACAAATCGTATTCGAATGTGATGTCGAACAATTACAGACAAGTCAATGTAGCCGATAAGAGTGGAGACGCAAAATTAGTGAACGTCTTTACTACGGGAAATCAAATTAGAGTTAATACAGCTACTGCAGGTAAAATGCATATTACAATTCCTTAATAAATTTATCAAATTCATGTATACATAAGGGAGCGACTGAAAATATTTATATTTTTCCTTCTCGATTATAGCGGGAAGTAGTAAACCAACTTGTGCGACAACTGGCACATTGTCAAATCTTTTACAAAGTGGAAAGAGCTCTATCGCGCTCACGAGCAGTGCATCTTCCGCCCGTGTGTCGTCGGCTTCCAGTATCTTACTAACGACTACCAATTCATCGGCGAATAACGTAACATCGTCCACAACGATCCCTCCAAAAGGTAGATTACTATTATCTAATCAATTAATTAATAATTTACCTGAAACGTAGCAATAAATAAATATAGCCTACAGAAAATTTACGTATCTACCGCGAATTAAGTAATTTGATGTTACAATTTCTGTTTTGTGGATCTATTTAGGATTTTTATTCTTATATAATCGAGTAATTCATATAGAATATTATATTTGCTCGTAAAATGATGTTCTCCTTCAGCGCTGCTTTTTCATTATTCGTGAATTTGTCACACTATTTGTTTGTGATTACCTGACCATGTTAGAGTAGAAAAATGAACGAAAGACAAAACGACAATTCTGTCCATCGTATAGAGTATCATTAAAACAAAAGTGCAAATTGAAGAGAAACTTCATAAGCACAACATTTAAGCTTAATAATTTTACAATAAACAGTATTTAGCAAATTGACTATACACTTAATGAGAGAAGAACATATATTTGCTATATTTATAACCGTTAATTTTGAGAATTTATTTCTATTTATGTTTTCCAATTACTTTAATACAAATAAGCAGATTTATATTTTTTATAATACTTATTTAATGCGGCATATACATAAAATGAATATCATATACAGCTAGTAAAAACTGGTTAATTTTTTTTATAATTTTCATTTCTCGATCGTTTAAAGTATATATTCATATATACACAGATAACATACATTTTTATAAACTTTTACACTTGTATATAAAATGACACGAACTATCTAACTTTTGAAATTACGCGTGTATTTCTGATATATAACAAAAAATTACTACGTGTATTTCTGATATAACAAAATGTATCAAAGGGAACAGACTAAAAATTCTCTCAGTTTCTTGTAATCTATTTAATAATTTGATATATAAACTATAAAATTTAAAACGAAGCACATGAAAAAGTATTAGAAATTATAATAAATTTATTACAAGTTCTAAAATATTGCATAATATCAGTCAACATAATCAGTCTTCATATACATATATTAATAATACATATTACAATTTAGTCTATTATTTAGTATTTTTATCATAAAAATAGACCTCAACTTTTAATACACGTAGGAGGAGAGGGATTAAAAGCTATATAGCACATATATTTGCATGTATATACTTTAAATTATTATGGGAATCATACATATATATGAATATAGTGCTTTTTATTACAATAGAATAATTCCAGATATAATATTAGTATGCTAACTGCATATATTTTAAAAAATGAATTCTTTTGCTGATAAGAGAAACATATCACATAACAGTAGATTCCAAATAATACAGACTATAATTTACAAACATTTGTTCACTCAATTCACATTTGTCATGATTTTTCTCTATAAAACCAAAAAATATCCTTTTTCCTAAAGTTGCTTAATATTAATTTGATACTAGATTTATTTTACTTGGTAAGAGCTCTCTTTCTTCCTTATTGTATATATAGTTTCTTTAATTTTCTAGCTTAATTAGAAGTATTTAACGAGACCATGTGCTTCTATTACTTTCAATTATTTAATTATCTTTAGACAAAAAATTTCAAATACATGGATGAAACTAAGGGGATTTTCCATTTATCTCTTAATCAGTAATGTAAATAGTTATATATTTAGACATATATGCACATGATATTATGTCTTATAAATGCTATTAACACTTGTGGATGAGCGATAAGTATCATCATGGATCTTTAAGTACGTATCAAAAAGGAATATTGTAGATACAATATCAGGTTGCTTTTTATTTTGTATTCAATAAATATTTTTTTGTGACATATATATAATTCGAATTTGTTTAATTTCCAACCTTATAATCCTCTGTCCATTGAATCAAATATAAACAATTAATCAATTTATATAATGTGACAATGAATACAAACAATTGGTTTTGGGATGTTTAATTAATATCTTTACTTACATCAGGTCTTGGACAACGACAAATACTCATAGTAATAAGGCTTTGCCCCAAATGTATTTTGTAAAAGAATTACTAAACATTCCTTATTGGAACCTTTTGTTTCGAGTAAGATAGAAATCCTCTTAGTTTAAAATTTCTATTTGTCCTTCGCTACCCTTTTAGCATTAATTTAAGATTATTAAAATAATATATAATTTCAATGTACAACATTAAATACACAATTAAGCTAAAAATATAAAATTGTAAAAGATTTATAAGATTAAATATCAAAGCGAGTGTTTTACAGTCAAATATTCAATATGTTGGATGTGGAATGTGTTGCGTGGTATACAGTGTTGGAAATATCTTCGAAATATTGTTGCATGTTAATAAAAATATATATAATTTTATATCTTTTTTTAAGATCTGAGACAAATATATACATCTATATTTTATAGCGATGGAAGAGATGGGAATAAGCAGTGACTCTCACTTATTGGAGATATCCAAGTCGACACATTTACCACGACAAGGAGCCGCATCGAATAATACTGACAATTCTCATAATATGTCGTGCGGTAACATAGTCATTGTCGAGAATTCTCTTCACAACAGAAATGCGCCTCCGTCAATGATAGTCCCATTTAACAGCCAAAACTCTGGAAACATCTTACCTTTATCCAACAAGCTGAAGTTGTCTCAGAAGTCGATGAAGACAATGCCGAAGATCACGGTCAACGCCAACAATTTACAGAGACTTCAAAAAGGGAAAGTCGCCCAAAGTATTCAAAAAAAGAATATTGTCACAAACGATATAGATGACGATCTGGGAAATATATTGGATATACCGATAATATTCGCCAAGGACGATGACAATTTAAGCAACATCGACAAAATACCGATAGTAACACAAGCGACGCCAGCTAAGGAGCCTCCAGAAAGACCCAAATTAAGCAGCACCACCAAAGTGGTTTTAATTAGCAATAAGCAAGACAAACAGACGCAAAATAAATCTGTTATATGTCCCAATATGCAAAATTTAAATCAGCTGATACTACAAACGCGATCCCAGAATAGTGGTATCTCAGCGAAGAACAGAATGCCGATAGAAAATCGCCTGGTACAACCTACTGTAAAATATACCAAGATCATTCTGGCAAAGAGAAATTCGCAACCAGCTCAGCAGAACGAGAGAGGCGAACAACAGATGACTGCGACGACGAAAATTACGGAAAATGTAAATGCACCTAAAATCCTGACCTTCGAGAAAGATGAGCATAGATTTGTGCAAGCGCAATCTTCCAAAGCATCGATAAATTATGATGATACTCTAATGGATAACGTACTCGAGATCGAGGATGCTATTAAGACCAATATCATCGAACGTAAATACGTGCCCACAATCGACGCTACATCTGCAACTGTCGACAATGATATTTGCGATATTTTGAACGAAACGGAGCTGGAGCACGAGAAAAAATACAATTCGGAACAGTCTATTCTTGACAATGCCAGCGAAATACAAATATAAAATATATAATTGTTTCTTATGTAACATAAGGTCTTGATGATATGTTGTGCAATATGCGAGAACACGTCTGAAAAAGACGTCTTCTCTATAAAAGGCGTATATTATTTTAATAGGTCCGTATAAACCCATTTTTAAATATACAACAACACACTCACATATATATATATATATATATATATATATATATATATATATATATTGTATAAAATATATAATAAATATATTGTAAAAAATATATATATGTTAATATATATATTTTCAGTATACACAATGCATCTACAAAGTTTTATATTACATTAATTAAAACGTTGTAGACGCGCTATATATTAATTATAATAATATTTATAATACAACTAATACTATAGAATTTAATATATTATTTATTATTATATAAGTCACACACACGGTTTTAAGCTTTAATAGTGATAATACGTACTTTGTTGTTACAATGAGATTATAATTCAATTTAGCTTAAGATTTTATGTAGTATATATGCGATATTTTATGTATTACATATATAATGTGAGAAATACGTGTGCGTATATAGATTCAAAAAACTTAAAATATTTATTAATTCAATTATATATATATATATATATATATATATATATATATATAAAACGCCTAATAGTATTACAAAATTCTACATATATATATTTGAGTATGATATTCGCGCTACTCCAAATTAGCCAAAGAATTCAAAAGATGAAAAATAAGCGATGTTAAATAATAGGAAAACACTGCTATTTCGTAAATTGTATATCTCTAGAATGTGTGCCAATTTCTTTTATTTAATATTTCTCTTATATATAGCTGTTTCTTTTCATACATATTTCTGAGAAAAATAAAAAGCAATTACATAAAAATGTGTATCTACTTATTATCTCATTTAAATATTATCTAGAATCTAATAACTCTAAATCGAAAATCTAACTTTTGAAAAATGTATTATTAAAACCTTGAAATTATTTCGATATCAAAAGAGCAAAAAAGACGTCTCAGAGCTGTAAAATTTAACACTTTCTAAGATAATACAATTTAGTACTTCTATGTAACATATAAAAGATTATACAAATGAACGACATGTATGACAAATTACATATAAATAAAATTTCTATAAAAAAATTGCAATATCTATATCTCAGTCCCTAATACAGTGTCTCCATTTTGTGACGTAAACATCACGTACATTTTTTTGCTTAATTCGGGCCCGATTTTACGTACAGCTGTGAGAGGTCCTGCCGCTCTTCTAATCTATAGAGAAAACGAAACTTTTGACTTTCTCTAATCTATATAGAAAACGAAACTTACAAATTTATTATGTTAATGAATTATGAATAATGTTACTATATTATCTCTTTATTACTGCACTATGGCTTATATAAATATATTTTATATGAATTTTATCGTGTATAAAATATAATTATGAGATTTAATTAAATTTACGTTCATGTGTATAATGATAACTAAAAATAAAAAACAAATAGACATTGATATAGATTATAGATTATATTTTAGAGAGAGAAAGACAATTATATTAGATATATATATATATATATATATATATATATATATATATATATATGCTAATGCTGTATTAGTAAATTACTATATAAAATAATAAAATTATATTATATATATCTAATATAATTTTATTATTTTATATAGTAATTTACTAATACAGCATATTAGTAATTTACTAATACAGAAGAGAACAAGATAAGACTTACCGGTATGTCTTTCAATAAATTCATGCCTTCCTCAGGTGTACAATTTCTGTAAGCCTAGAAAAAAAGAATAGAATATTTAATTTACACATTTACTAGAATTAGGAACAAGTCTTTTTCCAGCAACATACTAAAATAAAATATTAATTATAAAATTTGATAATACCTTGATCAATTGCACTGGACTAGGATAAACTGCACATATAGCTTCTGATATTTCCAAGCTACTCAAGTTAAATTGGCATAACTGCTGCTGCCACAATCTCTTCAATCCATTTCCATCTTTATCCACTCGCACAGTGTTCTTATTGTCTCCCATAACATACCAGTCAAATTTATTTTCCTGACTTTCTCTCTTCTCTAATTTATATGGTATTTCCGAAATAGACTTTGTATATTGATACACCATTAAACCTAGATCTTGTGCATTCTCGATTAATCTGCTACTACATTTGGCTACTATCTGAACTTCAGTCATGCACATCTCCAGCTGCTGCCTCGATATAATTGGGAATGTTTCAAAATGCTGATTACCTTTGTTGTTACATCTCGACCCTTTACTTTTAGAACTCTTATCTGTTTTCTGTTTCTTCCGATATGCAAAATACTCTTCCATGCCAAAGATAACCAGAGTTACATTGTAATTCGGAATCAGGGATTTATTGTGTAAAACTGCAGCACAGAAAGTACCTTCCGCCACATGTTTTACTGCTTCATAATTGCTCCAAACCACAATAATGTATTCTTCCATCTGTATACTTTTGTTTACATGTACTTTATTATCTTCGCCAATGTAGTTATCTTCTATATTCCTCTGCCATGTGATACTGTTCGAAATTAACTCTGTAGTTACGTTAACTTTAATATCAGCATTTCGCAGTACATTTTCAATTTCTGTACGAAAAGCCGACGCATCGATATTTCGATCCAGATTAATTTCCATAAATTTCAAACATTCCCCAGGCTTCATATCCTTAAATTTCTTCTTCTCGATCGCCTTTAACGCCTTTTCTCTCGCCTCTGCCTGCTGACGTTTCAATCGTTCCTCCTTTAACGTCACCTTGTCCTTTTTGGATGCAGCAGCTTTTCTCGAAGTCTTTTCAACCCGATTATCATCCGAATCGTGAGAATCGGACATGGTATGCGATGATCCAGGACGTTTATAGCCATTGTCAACATTCAAATTGGGAAGATCCTCATCTTCAGTTTGCGACGTCCAGTTTTCTAAAATTTGGCGACAGAATGGTACCTCCGGGAAGTCGAAGCTTGTATCATTAAAACGAGGTTCTTCGTTGTTTTCGAATTCATTTTCATTGCATCTGTCTATAATAGGCGACGAGGGTTCGTCCGAATCACTCAGCACAATCACACTCGACATTCTATTTCTTCCCTGTATACATATGTGACTTCGAATTTTAAAATCACCTCAAAAATCAGATTGAATTGAGATTTGATTTAATCATTTACGAGAAAAATGTCTTCAAATTGCTATGTTTTCAATCCATCAACACTTGACACGTGAATCAGATGTTTAACCACATGTGTTTCTCAATCTAACCTAATCCAATCTAATCTAACCTTTCTTTATGTATTGGGAGATTATTTTCGTGTTGCTTTTGTACTCGAGTGAGATTTCTTGCTCTCTTTTTCTGTCTCTCCAACAAATAAATATTTATTTCGTTTTAATAAAATGCGAAATTATAGTTTATCAGCCTGAGAAATAAATTGTCGATCTTTATATAAAAGATACGTGAACATATACATTTGAAGCGATTCAAAATATATCGAAAAGACGTCACAGCGATCTTCGAGATATCGAGATGTTATTAGCGCGAATTAATTATAACGTAGTGAAAAAGGCGCGCAGGGCGAAGCGTAGAACGAGAATTGAAAACGTTCGAAGATCAACGAATGCAATTTATTTGGTTCGAAAACGAGAGAATTTCTCGTTTTTCCCGTTCTGTAACTGTTTGACGAAGCAACGATAGAGGCGGCTAATGCAAACTATAAATAGGCGTTTCGTATCCCGCAGAATTTTCGAGCGAAGCGGAGTGCCTGCACTCGATAGGTTATACTTTAAGAAAATTGTACGTGCACAGTGAATAAGTTTCATTACATTCGAAGTGATCGAATTCGAGAATGACGTGTGTTGAGAAGTGTTATTTATTGTTGTTTTTATTTTGATCTTTTTAGATAGCTCAACGAAGTGAGTGAAACTAATTACTACCCATTAAAAATGGATCCATCTTCTCGTGAATCGTCAGTAGAAATAGAAGTTGAGGAAGACGAACTGTTCGACGCAGTGATATGTATGAATAGTAAGGAAATTGTCGAAACGAAACAGAATGGTACGAAAAAAGACAACTTGGACGCTAATACCTGGTATGAAGATGTAATAAACGCGGAACTTTACGAGAAGACGCAAAAATATGAACAGTCGAGTGCACAAAGTGACGATACTCAAATGGAGCATAAAAAAGTAAAGATAACATTAGGTATATAGAATACAAAGCTAATGTAAAGAATAAACCGGAAAATTCACATACGCTACGTAAGAGAGCGAGACAAGACAGTATGGATAATGAGGATGCTAAGGTATCTCGTAGCAGACGTTACTCCAGTGACTCTACCTCGACCACGAATTCGTCAGAAAGTGGGAAGAAACACTTGGAATTCGAGACAGATCCGGTTGTATTAGCGCGCAGACAAAAGGAGATAGATTATGGCAAAAATACTATCGGATATGACAGATACATTCAGCTAGTCCCTAAGTAAGCGTTACAATACAATATTCCTACGTAGATAACATAGAACAAGTTAGATCCATATAAAATTAAGGTGACAAAAGATAGATTCTGTAATCTATTGTATATATTGTATGTCAAGCCAAAATAACATGATTTTTGTTTATTTTTGTTTTAGAGAGAATCGTACACGAGAACATCCAAGGACACCACCAAAATATATCAAATATAGCAGGAGAGGGTGGGACGGTATGGTGAAATTGTGGCGAAAACAACTTCATTATTGGGATCCTAAAGAGAATGACAAGGCTGATTAAAACACTCAAGTTATTCCATTAAAATACTGCCAATCACTTCTCTTAATTTATATTGCAATTATATTGTTTTGAATTTTCCTATGCTGTTAATTCAGCACATATCGCTTCTAGAGAGTAAAAAAAACGTATGATATATTTTTGTGTTAATATATAAATAATCATATGATTAAACAATGTAGAAACTATTATGAAATAGTATTTTTATGTTCCCACTTACATAGGTGATTTTGTTTCATCGCATTTTGGAAAACTTACTTATATATTAATGAATATAAACTTTGTACGTCAATAATACATGTATATTAATGTCTTTTGGAGCATGTTTACAAATTTTCATTGCCATATAAACAGCTTGAAAACAAATTGAATTTACACGAATTAAAAATATTTGCCAACTTGAAATTGTGCAATGTTTTATACATGGTTTTGATAAAAAATATGGAGACGATATAATAATACATGATATATAAACTTATCTAATAAAAAACTCATAAAAACAAACTTTATATTTTGTTAAAATAATTCTGTTCTTTTTTAATCAGATAAAGAACATTTATAGAATGAATATATTACTTATTTTATATTTTATATAAATCCTATTAATTATTAGATATATTACTTTTCTGTTATAATTCTACTTGAGTATGTGTGTGTCTTGTTTTATTAAATATCAAAAATTAATCCTAACAAAAAACAATTATTTTAATTTCAATGCTTCAAGTCTTTCCAAAATAGCATCTAATTTCTGATTAGTACTAACCTCTATCTGATTTAGCCTTTCCATTAGTTTATTCTCTATATCATAAAATTTATTATCGATATAAGTTTTGATGTCAGATTGTTTACTATCTTCACTACAGTTTGAATAGTCTTTTTTATTGGCTTGTTCTACATTCCTGGTTCTACTTCCGAAAGAATTTAACTTTTCATGCTCATTCTCATGATTTGAACATTCCTTTTCACTATTTTCTCTTCCATTCTTATTTTTATATTCAAGATACTCTGAGTTTGAAGCAAGAGTTTTTAAATTTCCCTGGTAAAACTCATTGTTCATATTAATTTTCTGTTTATTATTATAATGTCTATGCATTCTCATTACCATATCAGCCTCTTGACTCATATTGCCATTGACATTACTGAGAAAAGTCTGAATAAAGTCTTTATAATTAAAGGCACTTGATTTTGCCTCTTTAGACTCTCTTTCACTATTGGTACAAGATCTGATATCCATATCTAATTTTTTATTATCTTCTTCACAATTTGGACAGTCTTCATTGTCTTTCCTTTCAGTTTCACTTTTGCATTCGACAGAATCTGACTTTTCATAATTATCTTCATAATTTGAACATTCTTTTTCATTATCTCTTCTTCCAATTCCATTTTTACATTCGGAATATTGTGAATTTGGAGCAAGGTTTTCCAAATTATTTTGACAAAACTGCTCCTTATTCACAATTTCTTGTTTATTATAATATCCAAATACTTTCATTGCCATTTCTGCTCCTGGACTCATTTTACTGTTGCGATTACTGAGAAAGGTCTGAATAATGTCAGGGTTGAAGGCACTGGGTTTTGCCTCTTTTATAGAATCTATCAAAAACAGTCTTATACCATATACCCACATGGTAGAGCTTTTATTTTTTGTTCTGATAAACTAAAATAGAAACAAAATTATTATATCAGATGTTGAAATAAAGTGTCTGTATAAATCATATAAAGTATTATATACAATTCCCTTACCTTAATACTAGCTTCTGTTGTAGGAGGTTGTATCATTGTTTCTCCAAGGTAAACAGTATTATCTTCATACTCGTCTATAAACTCGGCGAATATTGTTGTTTCATATTCTCCATATTGTTTGAAGATTTCTAGAACATTGCTCTCGGAAACAATAGCAATGCGTGCTATTTTCTGACAGCTCGTTACCTTGATGTCCAATGTACATGGGTCAAAGTTTGATGACTGCAGAGCAATACAGGTATCCAGAAAAGCTACATCTTCACAGTTTATTCTGTGTGCAAAATTTATATATAAATATTATTTCAATATCACTTGTTATTCTAAAAATTCATCGTATGATGGAAATTGCACAAATATTTTCGAATTTATTTGCTTACTTTGCAGGTGGATGCTGTAACGACGCAGTGGTAATAACATCAATGAATTGCTTATTATTAGTAATCTGCCAATTGCACGAAACCAGTATGGAATTCTCGTGACACTTTGTGGAAAGAGAAGCGAGTGGTTCACTGACATCTTTAGCGTTTAATATCTCCATAATTGCGATATGTCTCAAGTGATAAAAAAAATGTATAATTAATGGTCACCTTTTTACGAACAAAGTGATTATATCTTGCAATCTTGCGATTCTGCCTGCGATTATGCAAAGTAAGCATTCTTTTCTATGGAATCTTTATTATTGCATTACATTACACATAATCACTTGACAAAAGTCCAAATAATATCCAGTATGTATTTCTATGAATTTATACGAGATATTATGTGCGCTAGATGTAGATGTTACTTTATGTTACACTGTCACCGATTTGAAAAACCGTATGTTGAACATTTCTCTTCTCAAAAACTTCTTTTCATAAAACGCTCGAAATGATAGACACAAATGTCAAACAGTACAGATTATAACAAAATTTTCTTGATGTACGTGTACATTGAAGCATGAAAATTCTTACAGATAAGAGATGCAATACATTTTTATTGCAATAAATATTATATAAGTGCAATGTCTTTAAAATCTACGTTACTTATTTAACACTACGTTATTTAATTTATCATTATATTTATATATATAATTCTGAATTATAGGTTATCTATTCATAAACTTGTTATTCCGAATTCGATTACGACTAGTTAGAGCGATCCAATAAGAAATTTGCTTTCTAGGGAATTTGGCTAGCGATATTTCGCGCCAATGAAAATCTTCAGAAATTTCAATGTGTATTTAAATCACACGCGTATTAAAATTTCGATAAAAACGAATTGGAAACAGAAATTCGCAGGAGGAGATGGTGCGCAAAATTTGTAACATCGATATTGATTATTTATTTCGCGAAGATGCATTATACGCACATATATGTATAAACAGATAATGTATTCTTCGGAAAGAGATGTAATGAAGCAATAGGATCGTCATATACATACATACAGTTATTACGAGTCGTAATATTGCTTTGATCAAACTATTTCACGCGTTCTGCTTTATAATTGGACTTCATATACTTCAATGCGTTTAATATTACCGCACAACACCTGCTTTAATTAAAGAATTTTTCGTACAATACCTGATTATTGTGGTGAGAGAGAGAGAGTGAGAGAGCGCGTTCTCGGTGCGTGCGACTTTGAATCGACTTTGACCTCTAGACGGCGCTGGTATGCAATGCGTCACGTGTCACGTGACGGGCGCGGAGTGGGGGAGGTCGGAGTGGAAAGGGGCAGTTGCGCGCGCCAGTCTCCCCTTCTCCTTCTCACATTGCGCAACACGGCGAAGCGAGAGAGAAGAAGCATCTTTCTCTCTCTCTCTCTCTCTTTGAAGATGTTTTCGAAAAATCGATTTTTTATCAAGAATTATGTGTGTCATCAACATGTGTGTGTAAAAATATTTTAATAATAATATATATACATATTTAAAAATTAAAGAAAAAAATAGACTGAACTGTGATTTTATCAACAGTTGTAAAAAAGATTTGTCATTTTAGTTTGCGAAATGGACATCCGTGTATAAATGGAGTGGCGTTTAAATCATACAAGATTTGTGTGCGCTTAGTTTTTCGAAAAAAAAAAAAAAATAAAAGGCCATTGCACGAATAAAAATTTTAGTCGTATTCATAAGCAAATCATCATTAAATTGTCAATTATCATTATTATATTATCATCGTTCATAGATAATATAGGAAAGTGTCAGAAGGCTGGGCAGGAGTAGGGGAAACTGAGGAAGAAACAGCTGATCAGAAGTATCGACTAGTGCGCGCTTTCCTCTCAGAGAATTGTCTCCCTATCCTTGATCGCAATTTGACAGAAAATATGTCGAAATACAGAATTGTTATGGTTCGCCACGGCGAGAGCGAGTGGAATAAATTAAACCTCTTTTGCGGATGGTACGACGCCAATCTATCGGACAAAGGTGCGTAAATCTTCGCCCGGTTGATCTATCGTTTTCAAGGGCAAAAGGTCGCGCGATTTTACGAACTTCCAATTTTGAATTAATTTGAATTAATAATAACGTGATCGTATATCTTCTGAAATTCTTCATATTTTGTTGTAAGAAAACTGTAGAGATTAGTAGTAACATCATTAAAAAAATCTTAGACACAAACACAGACATATAAATACACACATGGAAAGGATTGTTTTTTACATTTGAAACTTTCTGCAGGTAAAAGCGAAGCTTTGTCTGCGGGAAAAGCTCTCAAAGATGCAGGCTACACATTTGATGTGGCTCATACATCGGTGCTTACAAGAGCACAGGAGACCCTCAAGGCGATCCTAAAGGAGATCAGTCAGGAGGATTTACCTGTTCATAAAACGTGGCGATTGAACGAGCGACATTACGGTGGTCTTACTGGCATGAACAAGGCAGAGACAGCCGCCAAATATGGTGAGGAGCAGGTGCAGATCTGGCGGAGATCATTCGATGTACCACCACCACCAATGGAACCGGATCACAAGTACTATGACACGATAGTGAAGGATCCACGTTATGCCGATGGTCCTAAACCAGAGGAATTCCCCAAGTTCGAATCCCTCAAGTTAACAATCGAGAGAACATTACCTTATTGGAACGAGACAATTATTCCCCAATTGAAGGAGGGCAAGAGAATCATAATAGCTGCCCATGGAAATAGCTTGCGTGGCATAGTAAAGCATCTCGATCGTAAGAAACTTTGCTTATGTAATTGATTTGTATCAACATAATTTGTATATTAATCAGTGGGATTTCTCATTTTTAGAATTGACCAATGATCAAATCATGGGATTGAATCTACCGACTGGTATACCGTTTGTATATGAATTGGACGACAATTTCAAGCCTGTCGTTTCTATGAAATTCTTGGGTGACGAAGAGACAGTCAAGGCAGCGATGGCTGCGGTCGCTGCGCAAGGAAAGGCTAAATAATTATTAACAAAAAAAAAAAAAAAAAACAAGTCTATATCAAGACACCTGTGAAGAACACACCTGTTACATGTCTGTTAAAAAAGTATATTTATGTATTAATATGTGTAAAAGTATTTATAATTAACCATTAGTTTCGCGACAATGTAGCTGGAACAAGAATGATAGACGCATTCTTTCGAAAAAACAATTTCCCATTGTATGGGAAACGTAAAATATATCATGAAATATCCATAAAATTTGTGAGATTTTGTTGTGTGATCGAATCTGTAGGTCCACCTATATATCACTCATTACATATGTATCAATTTGTTTTTTCAACTTCATATTTATTTTCGCTATTTAATTTATATTAATTGATATGCTATCTAGGGTCGACAAATGATTACATTATATATCAGAGATATTTAACATATATCTTTACAAAATATTTAATTAAGATAAGAGATATTATTTATGCGTGAAAAACTAAGTCAACACCTGGGTGTTCACGTGCATGTAATCTGAAATTAGTCACTTCCGACGACGTCATCGACTCGACAGCATCCAGCATCTTTCAGCACTGCTCAGTACATTCCAAGGCGTCGATTGATGGATGCCTCTAACCTCATCGTATACATGTTACACACGTTGATAATTCCAACATGAATCGCGTAGATTTAAAAATCGTGTTGCTAGGTAATGCAATGGTGGGAAAAACGAGTCTTATGGAACGATATGTGCATGATTCGTTCAACGGCAATAGACCTTATCAAAATGTAAGTACCTTCATTAGAATACGATTACAATTTACACTTGTGTATATATACATACACATGTATAAAAAGACGATTCGAACAAAGAAAAGATGAAAATGATGGTTCTTAGAATTTTTAGAATCCTTCCCGATAATAGGACTATTCTTTTCAGCTTGCTTAAATATAAAATTATATAATTTACGAGAGAAAAAGACGAGATATTTATGAAAAATATATATAACATATGCATATTTTGATGGGCGTCTTCAGTTACAATCATTTCAGTGCTATTTATCAATACATTTCGGAAAGATATTGTAAAAATCTCTCTAAGCTACATATCTTGAATTTATTTTATAATTTATTTTGTTATTATAATTCACAAATAAAATACAGCCCAAGCAGTCACATCAGAAAGAAGAAGAAGAACAAATAAAATACTATTAAAAAGAAAATTTTGTTATGTAAATAATTCTAAAAAGTCAATATTTTTCATTAATGTCATCAATGTAGTCAAGACAAATAGAAAAAACAGAAAGTTGCAAAAACTGCAGTTAAGAAGAATAGACCTAATCAATTGTGAACACTAACAAAGCACATTGTTTCTCTTAGTCCGTGACATTATGGAAAGAAAATTGTAAAATAATATTAAAATTTGCACTGAGAATCGTCTAAATGGAAGGGAGGGCATATACAAATTAACACAGTTGAAATTATGCCGCAGACAATAGGCACTGTGTTTGCAGCGAAGCAAGTACAAATAAATGGAATATCTCTTGTTATGGGAATATGGGATACAGCAGGAAGTGAAAAGTAAGCATGAATTTTGTTATATAAATATATATATATATATGTTTGTTCTGAAAATTTTTAATATTTAAACATATACTAAATGTTAATATTATTGTAATTAATTATTAGATATGATGCAATGACTCGAACATATTATCGTGGCGCAAAGGCTGCTATAGTATGTTATGACATTACTAAGATGAGTACATTCCAAAGAGCGAAACACTGGGTGAGAGAACTCAGAAGTATTGAAGAAAATTGTAAAGTATATCTATGCGCTACTAAAAAGACTTATGCGACGAAGGTTTTATATCAGATGATCCAGATCTGCAGAATATTGTAGAAAGGTATGCAAAGGGTACACAGACCAAATTTTTTACAACATCAAGTAAGACAGGAGAAAATGTAGGTAAGGACGCATTGTACTTTCTAAATACACTTATTATTTGCAAAAAATTTTATTTACCCTTTTTCTTTTTATAGACGAATTGTTCAACGAAATTATACAAGATTTCGTCTCCAATCCAGAAAATTTGCAACAGGCCGAAGAAGCAATTGTTCTAAGCAGAGAATCTGAGAAAAGGTATTGTTGTACACTGATTTAACAAGATCAGTATTGATATTATATTCTTGTACGGTTTTTTTATCAGACATCTTATCTGAGATTATATATAATGTACTATGTAATAAAATAGATTTTAATATAATTGTTAAAGATTGCTGTGATATATTATTTTGCTCAGTAATTTTCAATAGCTTCAAAGTTTGTATCACAATATTGTTAATTATAAGCATAGCTTACAATCAATGAGCTTACAAAACTGAATTAAATATTTCAGCAATTTTAAAAAAATGTGTGTGCATATAAAGTGTTGTATAATTAAAGTGTTGCACAATACATAGTCGAGAAATATTCTTAAATATATAATTCTTTGTTATTTAGTTTAAAACTGATGTTTTGTCATTAAGTGATATGTTTGATTTCTTATAATCACATTTCTGTCATCATTTGTAATTAGAAGGTTTAAACTTTAATTTTATTAGGCAGAGTATTAGTAATAATTCAATAAAAATTTTTATTTTGACTAACTTTATTAATTTATAATTACCTTTTAAAATTGATCCCAGCAAATATCATTGAATAAGAAAGAAAGTTCAATTGTTAGAATGTATTTGCAAAATTTGTTAAAGTTTCGCTATATTTTAACTTTTTAAAATTTGTTAATCTAACAATGACTATTTTGAGAAGTAGGATATACAAAATTCTCTGGCTTGCTCGTAAACTCCAAAGAATATGAAACCACCAATAGTAAAGCCAGTTACTCTCGGAAGAAAACCAGCAAACAGCCTAAAAAAAAGTTGCATGATTAAACATGGAAAACAAATATAGATTAAGAATTAGATTGAGAGATATCTTCCACTCAATCCTTACCCTTTAGCACCATGATCTCTGTAAACATCTTTCAACATAGTAGATATTTTAACTTCCTCTTTTTCCGCCGACGTACTAGACAACATAATTCTAGTCTTTGCAACGTCTAATGGCGTCGTTATAGCAGCTGATATAGCAACTGAAAAAGAAACACATTGTGTATAAATAAGTACAGCTTTCATTATAATTAAAAAGAAAATTATTTCACCGAGTAATAATGTAATTCGAGTTATTACCTGATGCAGCACCACATGTGGCACCCTCCAGAGGTGTGCACTCTCGCTGCATTTGTTGGCTCCAATAAAGCTTGAAATATTCCCACAACGGCATTTGAATCACACCAAATGGTAAATCCCGAAGAACGGTACTTCCATAACCGCGATACAATGTTCTTAATCCTAGTCGATGTGTGTCTGACAAGAGCGCTTGTTTTCTTTGCTTAATTACTTCAACTGGTACCCGAACCAAACAGGCAGTCTACATGTAAAGTTGAATAATTTTCGATATACTTGTGTAATGCTTAAAATTATATAATTTATAATATATGATTTACAATAATACATACTTGTGTCATTATATACTAATGCAAAAATTATATATTATCCAATGATTAATACTTCAATCACTTACTACTTCGGAAGATGATGCTGCAGCCATGTGCATAAAAAAGTGATACTGATCTGGTACATATGGTTTTGAATACTGTTTTATTCCCTCATAAGTGATAAAAAATATAGCAGCTGCAATAACAATATTCATTTATATTACAAACAAAATATTATTTCTTTTTCAACATGTGTAATTTTATATTTTAAGATTAAGTTTTACCTGATGGAGCAGAACCTAATATCACAGGTCCAACACCTTTGTAGAGCTGCTTGAAACCACCAGATTGAAAAAATCCATGCTGGCTTTGTAAACGCGTTTTAAGCGTGTCTAATGGATAAAGCGTCACGTCACAAATAATTCCTGCAAGAGCACCTGACTGACGTCAAATAGTGATTATTTTTTCATTAAATCAGCTGACTTTTATTTTAAAATTTTGAGTATATTTTAATTTTAATATAAATTAGCAAGAGAGTTAAGAAATTTAGAAATTTAACACAAATAACAGATCCACATAAAATTGTAATAAACAACTTTTAATAAAAATCAATTTACAAAGATATAGATGTACAAAATTTATTAACAAAATTCACAATAATTAATCTAATGCGAAATTAGAGATTAGCATAAGAGGAAGTAAAACAGTTCTAATTACAGACAATAATTATAATTGACAGCAATTATGTAAAAAAAATGAAACGACACTTACGATAAACGATGTGAGCAAGACATCTCTTTTGGAGAGATTCGCAACAGATTCCTCTTGTTCGTAAAGCATTTCTGCTCCATGTAATAATTTATACTTTCAGTGTCTGATCCGAGCAGACAGATTTCAAGAAGCGTCATCGAGCTGATAAAGAAAAAAGTGGTCTCCAACCAAAAGACTACCTCGTGTCGCGCGTCAAAATCTTTCGGTGTAGAGAACTTCGTACAATCATGACAATCGATGCAACATTTATTATAAAATATTCAATATTTCGGATCGTACGTAGCCTTCATGTATCGTTCATGATGGAACAACGAATGATGCAAGTCGGCGAGAAAACACGTGTTTCGCATACATACATTACGTAAAGCGTGAACCAGTCCGTCGTCTGCTGCTTGTAACAAAACCTAACTTCTACAACTATCCTAGCCTAACAAAAAAAAATTCTAAACTTATTTCTCTAACCTCTAAGATCTCCCGATCAGCTGTTATTGAAATTATTGAAGAGATCTTGTGCTTTCGAAATTAAATAAATGATATAAGCAAATGAATAAGATATTAATTATCATGACATCGAAGGAAAAGTAAAGAAAAATAAAAAATTGCATGTATTCAAAATTTAAAGAGAGTATCGACCGATCTCAAGGGAGCTGTCATTCTAGTTGTCGCGCGCCAACGCGAGATGTCGCTGGGGAGCCGCGGAGGAATCTCGCGCAAGCGCAGTCGCGGCCGCCATTTTCGCAGCATGCGCAAACATCGAGAACGATACGCAGCAGCAAATACACATACTCCGAAGTATCGTCGAGATGTCGAGATGTGCGCGACGTTGATGAAGACATTGGGGAGCGTCAACAAGGACGGTTCGTTTAACGATGCAGCGACGATCAGGACGGTAGTAGAACTCTGGGATCACCGTATCGATTCGGCCGGAATATAATGCGACAGGAAGATGGAATTTGGTATTTGACAATCCGTAAGAATGCCGTAAAATCTTACAACGCGATCTCTCGCCATTTAACGATAATAAAGCCGATATATACGAAGTTATCTGTCTGCAATCGCAGTGCGAACAATTATTGATAAGTCCATCGGTTATGATTGGAGCGGATTGACGTCGGCGACCACTTCCTCGACACGTGCGTAAATTGCTACATACATATATATATATATATATTCAAGAAAGAATGACAAGAGCATCTACGACAAGCATATGATACGTGCAGCTGTCGCAGGTGACAGTGGCGGGGGATTACATTGAGAGCACACGTGTCTATTGACAGAGCTCTTACTAAAAAGATAGTCGACTTTGTGATACCCACGTCTTGCACAAAATCTAAATTACGTACGTAGACCTATCTCGATAGTCCAATAATATATAACACCAATTTCGCGAAATAACGAAAGGAGCAAACAGCCTCATTTTATGCATGATCATTAAGCTAACAAGAACTTTTGCCAATCTTAATTAACACTTGTGTCTTAATGCAGGTGTAAACTCTGTAAATATGTGCCACATCTGTAAAGAGTTTTTCTAAGATTATTCGGTGCCACTAATTCTAACAGTTAAACAGCTTACACAATTAACAACAAAGCTTTCTATAATAAGATGCATGAAAATAATGGTACAAATGATATGCGAGAGCTCAATGCGACAGACGTTACCGATTCTATTTTGTACACTATACTGATGAACGACCTCGGGACAGTCTCGACGAGCATGGCGAGTACGAACTACAACGAGAGCACGTCCACGACGACGTATGTAGAATTGTCGCAGGAGAACGAAAGTAACCAACGATTATGGAATCTGTCTAAAACAGCCGTAACTTCACTGTCTGCACCCACAGCGATACCATTTAATACTTCGAAAACTACTGCAATATATACATCAACAACTGAATCCTACGACGAATTTGGTCCACCGGAAGGAGTAGAATATATTTTCGTACCACTCGGTGTGGTCGTCTCTGTTATTATACTCTCAGCTGTGGTATGGGTAGCGATATCACTTTTGTCATTACCTCGTGACGTTTTTCCCCCTGCCCTGTTTTCGTTTACACAGCAATAGTTCTAGAAGAATATGCAGCATACAGCACTCTAATACTAATCAGAAAGATACATCATTATAAATGTGTATATATATTATGTTTTGATATTTTTTTTTTGTTATAAGTAATCATCTTATTATTTTATCAGAGAGAAGCGAATATAAATGCAAAGTGTAATCATACAATTTCAACATTTTTCTTTAGCAAAGCTTGATATCCTGCTTTTTTGTTAGGTATAAATAAGATTTTTCTTGTGATTTACTCTGTTTATAATTTTGTCTCTAGGTGCTAATTATATCGAGGAAGCGCAAGTTGGAGCGTTTGAGACATAGACTAATGCCTATGTACAACTTTGACCCTGGAGAAGAGGAGGAGGACGACTGGGAGACTGAACTGTTGGACGAATGCTACAGTACACATCAGAGACGAGTGTGTAAGATTGTCTACTGTTTGCGACTCGTGCAAGTACTTTGAAAATAAGAATTGATTGATTTTACAGCAAGGATACCAATCCATGGATACCGAAGAGAATGCAGAACTGTTCAGTGGTCATTAATAGCACATTTTTTGCATGACATTTAAATCATTTTTATGCTCTGTGACTATCATAAGCTAAATATCTATTATTTATTACAATTCTATATATGAACCACACACAAAGTTCTTAAGCGTTAATGAAATTAATAACTTCAAATTAAGAGCAATATTTTTTCTTATACAAAAAGTTCTTCAAAAGAATTGAAGTTTATTAAAAAAAAATAGTATATTAGAAATATATATTTACTAATTTTAATTCCTCAACCACTTTACAATCCAATCTCACTTTAACCGCACACGTATCCTATTCAATTTTGAACTATTTTGTAAACAATATTATACAAGTTTACAAACTTTAAAATATTAACCAATCAATATATTACATTGAACTTTAATAAAACTAATTTTATAGTAAAAAAATAAAAGTATGCAAAGTTTTCCTTAATAACTGTATTAATTATATGTTAAAATTTAATCATATTTATAGCTTTCTCTATCATTTTTAAAAATTTTGTTTTTTTCTCATTCACTTTTTCTTTTGCATGAATAAATTTTAAAAACAGTATCACATATAGTTAGAAGTTAATTATGTTATACCATTATTCGTAAAAGTATCGCTACAATTTTGCAGCAATATAAAAAAATTGGTACTTTTTTCTAAACTATATATATTAAAATTTTTGGAAAAATATAAACGCAGAATTAATAAGAGTACTTTGAGTTTATTTACTTTAATACAAATTTGACATTCACACATATGCTTGCCTCAAAAACGACAGTAATGTACACTCATTAAGAAAATGTATTGATAAGAAATAGAACACTAATATATGACAAATATTAGTGTTATTAATTAGAAATGAATAGTCCCTGCATATGTTACATACAAGAAGTATTTTTTTTCTCTATCTCTTACAATATTAAATTGGTATGAAGTTCTTTTTTTCTTTTGGCTTCATGAATTGTAATACACATATGTAGGAGAAAAGGAGGTAGCAAATATGTGACAATACTATCTATACTGTGAGATTTTTGTTTTAATAAGTTTATCAAATCTCACTTTTTTCGTGTAAATTAAAAAAAGTTTTGAGATCTGTATTTTAATCCAGTCCTTTACTGTTGAAAAAAGTTACACATACGTAGTCTTAGCACTTAAAAGTATGATTTTATTAATTATTAATAGTAGTAATGTCAAGTAAATATAAAAAGAACTTAATAAATTCGAGTAACACAACTTTTGTATCCAACGTTTCTCTTTCAATTTGTTAGGGTGTGGCAATGTACATTATATTTTACAGAATTTTAAAATTCCAATAATTAGTTAAAACAGTGCCCACCACTTGATTTGCTCCGAAATTCTCGAGTCAGACTAAAGATTAAAAAGAAGCTTGTGTTTGAAAAAACTTAACTTTGATTAAATCGACTTTGTTTAAAGATCTTCGAAGGATAGGTCAGCTGTGTTAGTTTCATCCTCCTCTAATGCATCCGAAGATGCTTCTTCAATTCTCCTCTTCTTCCTCCTCTTCTTGCTCGTCTTCATCCTCGCCGGTTATCTCAGGTTTCTCTTCTGTCTTTTTCGGTCTGCCGCGACCGCGTGGCGTAGTAGAGCCTTTTGGTGGTCCTTGCTGTAAGTTGACAGAATTTCATTGTACATTCATTTCATCATATATACTCATACATGCACATAGACTTAATATATCTTTCCTAATCGTACAAGAAAATCGCGCGTTTATATTTTTTGAAGTATGTAAATTATTAATATATTCAAGCGCTGTTTACCTTCTTCTTGTGGGAGCCTTTGGGTCGACCTCTTCCTTTTTTAACAGGTCCAGGTGGCGCATCGTCCTCATTATCAGATTTCGCCGGGCGTACCGCGTTATTTTTTTCCGCGGCGGGCCTACCCCTCTTTTTGGGCTCCTTTACTGCATTCTTGTCTGACTTGGCAGGCCTACCCCTCTTCTTCTTTTGCTCTTCTACCACAGGCGAATTGTCGTCCGACATATTTATTGTTCCCTTTCACTGTAAAATAAGAACAACATCGTTAAACTCATACAACAAATATTTTCTCTCTTTTCAGATTGTATCATCTCCAATGAGATAAACTACAAAGAAAGCGGAAGAATTCTGACTCATCTGTGTATACATGTGCATATTGTGTGTTAACTTGAAAAAAAAATAGTACGTTATTTAATACTTTCCATCAAGATATTAAAAAAATATGTCCTTTATTCGCGAATTATTCTCCAACTTGCAAAATTAGTGCTATATATCGGCAATAAAATAAATAAAAAGTATAATAGAAAATATATATTGTGCAAATGTATTCCACACTATACATACATACCCAGATAGCTACAGTAATTATTACGACATCATTTTGATGGCAAATGATGCATTTTGACATCAAAATGATGTCAATAATTACTGTGGCTAGCTGGGTACATACATACGTGCATGTGTATATATATATATATATATGTGTGTGTGTGTATGTGTATGTGTATATATAGCATAAAGTATATATAAAATGTAATTGTGTAAGGACGTATTAACTTTATATGTGAGAAAACAAGGTCGGGTATCGTTGTTATTGAAATGCGACAGATAATGAGTCTCGAATCTCAGAAAAACAGAAAACAAAATAAAAAAAAGAGCAAACATGACTATTATCGATCTTCCGATATTTTCTTCTCGCGCGCTTCGAAGTATCGGGGATCGCGACGAGAAGAGAAAGAGAGATGCGCAAACTCGCCGCGAAAATCAGTACTATCAATTGCGCGTCTCCGCGAGAGTTTACGGGCGGCGCGCGTCCGCATAATTTGCGTTGTTGTAAAACGCTCTTTCTCGTCGCCGCGATATGGCGCACGCGGCGACGCGAAAGGAAACATATATATACATATATACATATATATATATATATATATATATATATATGTATACATAATTAACACTCGCGGTCGAAATAATAATTTCACTCGGCGCGACTCCAACCAAACGAAAAAAATAAAAAAAAATAAAAAAAATGACCTCACCAATAACACGAGAAATAAAAGCGCGCGTCTCTTCGAGACGCAAAATCACGAGGACGGCGTCAGGCTCTTTCGCTGTCTCTCTCTCCCCGCGCCCGCCATTTTCAAAATTCGCAACGGCCGCCTCGGGTCGGCGAAACGACCGCGGGGATTCGCGGCGACGCGAAAACGATCCTCTCCCAGGACGAAATCGGTCCCAACGGGTTCCCCGAATTTTTCCCGAATTTTTCACGACCCCGTAATCGTTCGCGCGCGCGGGAAACGAGCGGAAAACGCACGGAGACGGGCGCAACGCGTCGGCCGCGCTCGCCGGGGACGCCATGAGAGAGGCGCGAAACATGGCGTCGCGAGAGTCGTATGCGTATGGGCCGCCTCCGGCGGCGTCTCGGCCGCGGTAGGCGAGGACGAGTCGCGCGCGCTCCCGGGAGAACCGGCGTGTGTATCTCTGCAAGTAACGGCGGGAGGACGCCGCGGGCGTCGCGAAAAAATCCCTCGGGGTCCCTACGAATTTTTCACGTCGCTCTCGCGTCGCGGAACGCGCGCGCTTCTCGCCCAAAAATAAATATTTCCCCTCCCGCGCGAGGGAAGGAAAAAATCCTACTTCGGGAGATCCGCGATAAATATGAGAAAATCGCACCGCACTCACTCACCTCGCACTCGCGAATTCGACGAAGGTAGGGTAAATCGCGTAAAATCTCACGCGCGCTCCTCTTCGGAGACGGAACAAAGGGCGATAATCGCGGGCTCCTTCGCGTTGCCGGTTGGTTACACGCGTCGTGGCGTGGCGGCGGCGTTGACGACGATGTCTCGCGGAGTAACGTCACGTCACGTCGCGTCTATCTCGTATCTCGTGTAATATATATCGAATCGTGCGTATCGTATCTCGCGCGGGATGCTACGGGATGATGCTCGACAAACGCACACCACTCGCTCGCTCCGTCTACTCGCGTTATGGTGCACTCGGCACGCTTCCCGACTCTCGCTCGCTTCGCCGCCGTATCGTCGTATATTAGTAGGCGCCGCTGCGCACTCTCTCTCTCTCTCTCTCTCTTTCTCTCCTTCTCCGCGCGCGCTCCGTCACACACCACGCGCGCGCGCGCGCGAGCGCGCACACTCACACACAGCCACCTCTCTCGCCTCTGTCTGTGACGCTGGGCCGGCCGGCAACGATGTTGCTGCTTCGTTTCTCCGGAGAGGAGAGAATCTCCGTCTCTCTCTGTTTTTCTCGCGCGCGCGAAACTGGGAGGGAGGTTCGTCGTCGTTAAGTCGACTCGTCGTCGATGTACATACGCTTATGATTTAATACACACGCACGCACATACGAAGTTAACTTACCGAGAAGGAATATCTCTCACACGGAGCCGCGCAACTGACCGACGACGATGTACTGCGACGCGATTCGTCGAGCCGTCCTAAGCGGTCTCCCTCTCTCTCTCTCTCTCTCTCTCTCGCTCTCCCTCCCTCCCCCCTCCCCCCTGCTGCCCCCGATCAAGCTAGTCGGAACGCGCCGACGAGTTCCCGCCAAAAGATCGGCCCCGGTATCGAAAAATCGTCCTTTTGTCCTCGCGCGCGAGAGAGAGAGAGAGAGACCCGGCTCGGGGAATCTCCTTCACCTCCCTCCCTCTCTCTCTCCCGCCGCCCTTTCGCCCCTCCCCCTCCCCCCACCCCCCGTCATTTCTCTCGCGGGTGAAGGAGAGGGAGAGGGCGTCCAGGACTTTCGCGCCAGGAATTTGGCGCGCGGGATCGAGCGCGATCGGCGATTTGGCGCGAACGGGAGTAATGGCGGACGACGACTGTTACGGTTATATATATATATGTATATGCATGTATGCACATTCGAGAAAGTGCGGCGATGGCGTCATCGATATATGGCTGTCATTATGGAAAAATTCGTTCGCGTTTTTTCTCGAAAAAAACAAAGTTGCGAGGAAAAACAAGTAACGCGAGATAATATATATGTATATATTAATGAAATAAAAAATAATCTGTGTAGTTTATCAATGCGCATGTGTACGTATATATATATGTATATAGATGTGCACAGGGTTACATAAAAGAAAAATCACACATGTACGCGTCGAGTAGCCGGTTGTAAGCGTTGGAGGACGTTGACCTCGCGATCTCCGATTTGCATGTATTTTTTTTTTTTTTTCGACTACGCCGACTTGAATACATTTTTCCTCGGCGTGGTTGAAATCATTTCTGCGATGAATCAATACGATACGTCGGATTTATATACGAGAGAATATATAGGTATGTGTGTATACATTGTTGTGCTTTATGGATGCGATGAGTCTTACGATGGCGGAAGTTGTTGTAACGAAATTTCCGCCATTTCCCTTCTGTATATATATATATATATATATATATGTATAATATGTATACATATGATACGCACATTATTCGTGGACGATTCGATTGCAATATCGCGGTATTATTTATTCGAGAATAATTAATCGATGAATAATTTATTTTCTTCTGTTTACATTTTGTTAATTATATGCAGCTTGATGAATAATTATCGATTTGTCCGAGTGCCTGCGATGGAAAATGCCATTTGCATCGAACACATCTGTCGTCATTTTAATTCATGCTTTGTTGTAATTATAAAGCCAAAAGGAATGCACTCGATATCGATCGTACATAGGGTTCTCTCACGTTTAATTTTGCATTTCTTTCTCATAAAATAGAAAAATTAAGAACGGTACGCGCATCTGCGCGAGAGATAAGAACCGCAAAATAACCTACAAATATCCGAATATATATTCGTATTTAGGGCCGTATATGTGTGTTCGATGAAATGCATACATTAATTATAAAAGCGGAAAGACTGGATAGTTATGGCGCCTAATTAATGACAAACTGTACAACCGGAACTGGGCTTTCGGGTGAAATTATTAAAAAGATACGTCAATTGCAAACCGAAATAAAAAAAACCGCGTCGAATAAAAACGAGATTTTTGACGTCGAAAAAAATGTTTATACAACGCGTCGGAAATGTCAAAGTCATCGGCATCGATAGTTTGTGTACCTTTATGCACCCTCCACTTACACCTTCCATTCAAGAAGAAAAAGTGCAGGAAACGCACACGTGACGCAAAACGGACGTCTGGATATCGATCCGGCATTTCCTCTCGCCGTCGAACATGATGACATAAAAATGAATAAAAAAACGGGACGACGATTAAAAATAGACTCGATTATTTTCAAGGACGACCCACGTTTCCTGCCGCGCCTGTTCGGACACCGTCTCGCAGAGCAGATTCATCGCAAACGGACGCTTTCGACGTGAATTATGCATCCACGCCGAGGCACAAATGGCGGATTACGCAGCGCTGCCAACTGCGGGTCCTCAACAAAATCCCTAGATATTCTAGTGACTTTACCGAGAAAGAATTCCGGAAGTTGCGGCGCGATTCCGCAGGCAGCACCGTCGATGAAATCTCCTCCGATTTCCTGTCACCGGGTCGGCCGACCAATGGCGACTCGCGTCTCGACCAATGACAGGCGCGCGTACGGCGGCCATGTTTCGTGGACGCGTTTTACCAACCATCGCGTTTCGCCTCGCGTCAAAATAACATTTTCGAGCAAATTTCCGTGAAAAATTTCCGCGAAGAGCCGGACGCCGCGAAGGGCGGATAAAATTTCGCCGCGATTCGTCTCGTCGTCACATTTTCGTCGTGACGTTTCTCCATAGTGACACGTGTTTTTTCGTCGTCGCGGCAAACGTGGTGCGCCCCGACAAACAAGCACCAACTTCAGAGGCGTGTCATGTTTGCGCTCTCAGCGCGTTACTTCCCGTACGGTTTCGTCGAGTTTCGTCGTCGAAAATCTATGAAAGATGCTGTCGCTAGGGCCGAAAAAGGACGGCGGGCCGAACGCCAAGTTCTTCGAGGCGCCGGAAATCCTCACCCAGCTCGACGGCGTCAAGCAGTGGCTTCTGAAGAATTGCAAAAAGGTACGTTCGTTCGTGCGAACATGGACCCGGCGTCCGTCACGGCTTCGCTTTTTCTCTCTCTCTCTCTTTCTCTCTTTCTTATTTTTCTTTTTTTCTCGGTGACTCGCGTCGATCGTGATTTTTCCGATAATCGCCTGCGTGTCTCTCGTGGAAAAATACGACGTTCCGAAAAGAATCTCGCGAGAATTTTTACGATGCGCCGATATATAATAGTGTATATTAAATGCGTATTCGGAGATTCGTCTCGATGACTCTGTACGCGATCGTGGAATTAATTAACGGTTAATTTATCGCTTATTATTATTTTGTATGGACGTGGAATAATAAATGGAAAACTGGACGTAACGTTAACAAGAGAATTAGATTGTTATTTTAAAAACGGGAGGAAATTGGAGCAACGCGAAACGACATTTTGTTAACCTGTATTGACTGCGAGGAAATTGACGTTTGATTCTTGTTTTGATAATTTTGTATGATTTTTTCTGTAGTATGTGCAAACGGATCCGCCCACCAATAAAAGTTTAGCCACGTTAGTGGTGCAGCTTCTGCAGTTCCAAGAAGATAATCTAGGAAAAAATGTATCAAAGCCACCTATGACTAGGCTTCCAGTATGTGAAATATTTCATATATACAATATCATTTATATAATGAAAGTAATACTGTATTATATATTTTTAAATTGACAATTTTATTTTTGCAGATGAAATGTTTCTTAGATTTAAAACCTGGTGGTGGTGTATGTCACATATTAGCAACCGCTTATCGTTTCAAACAGGAGCAAGGATGGAGGCGATTCGATTTCCCTGTGGGAAAAGTAATTTATTTTATTTTTGTTTTCCTAAAATTGTTTCTACATTCTTTCTAACAGTTTTTCTTAAAATGTTTTCTTCTGTTTTATAAAAATTTTACACACAAAATTTACAAATAAAATAATTAAAATAATAAAAAAACTGTTATTACAGTCAGGATCACGTATGGATCGTACAGTAGATATGCTGATGGCAGCGGAACGTGTTTTAGTACAGAATAGATGTATGACTGTACCAAGTGTTTTTGTGAGACCAGATGTTGATAAATCCACAGCTGCAAAAATCAAGGAAGTAGTTAGAAAACATCAAGGAACCGTCGTTGAAAATGAAGCAGATGCTACGCATATTATTTATCCTCCAGTGGATCCAATGGAAGAAGAATATGCGCGTCCTTGTATGAGACGCGAGAGGTCGGTTCTAATTCATTGGTACTATTTCCCAGACAGCTATGATTCGTGGTTGACAGTGGATCTTCCATGGGACTATCCTGAAGGAACTTATACAAATACAAATTCAAGGTACTAGACATTTGATAAATCTTTTAACATAAATTGATCAAGAAATATTTATTTGAAAAATGAGAATTACAATTTTGCTATTGTCAAGTTTGATAGTAAAATATAGTTTTAATTATGTATCTGTTAATTGATATATTTGTATTTGTTAATAAAGAAATTTTGTAAATTGTTCTCTAGATCAGTATACAAAGTATCAGCTACATGGGCGCTAGATTTGGATCAATATAACGAGTGGATGAACGAGGAAGATTATGAGGTAGATGATAACGGTCAGAAGAGAGTACACAAGTACAGACTGTCCGTAGAAGATTTGATGGCACAGCCGTCTCATCCACCACCCGCAAAGAAACCGAAGAGAAAACGATCACCCAGCCCACCCCCAAAGCTCGGAAAACGTAAAAGGTGTGAAAACTTTTGATAGCAAATTGGAATCTTAAAAAGAATTTTTCTCACTTTCGACTTTGTGTATGTTGTTTACAGTAGCAGAGCACCATCGGGTATTCAAAGCGCATCCGCGTCATCAGTAACAGCTCCGAAGAAATCACGTGGCGGCGAGGAAGAGGAAGATCTAACTCAGGGAATGGAGGATCCACCCGCCGAACCCCGCATCGTTGAAGTGGTCGCTACACCTACAAATCCACCAATTACTGGTCAGGGTAACTCAACAACAGGAAATTCCACTTTAACATCTACTGGTAGTAAAAAGCAAGATAGCGAACTTCAACCTCTCAAATCCGGCAATTTGACCGACCTTGATGAACAAATGGAAGGTATGTAACAAAATTTAGATAATTAAACTTAAATCTATAGTTTAATGTTGTTATGTAATGCGTAATCTATCATAATGTTGACAATAATTAGAAATGTTTTCGAGTTATTTGTTATTAATTTAACAAACTCTGAATTGAAAAATTATCGATATTACATAGGGGATAAAGGCAGTTCTCAAGGCGGTCAAGACAGAGAGGAGAGAGATACTAGTAAAGAAAGAGGTGAAGGTGGCAAAGACGAACCAGAAGATAATGTGACAGAGCAAACACATCACATTGTTGTTCCTAGCTACTCTGCTTGGTTCGATTATAACTCGATTCACACTATTGAGAAGAGAGCTCTGTCAGAATTTTTCAATGGTAAAAACAAATCCAAAACTCCGGAAATCTATCTTGCATATAGAAATTTTATGATTGATACCTATCGATTAAATCCAACGGAATATATTACATCGACCGCCTGCAGGTGACGTATATATTTAACTATGTATTAATTTATACATATACTATACCTAATTTATATTTCAATATAATGCTTATACAAATGTTGTCAATATTGTTGTAATATATTGATACAACTGTTCTATAGTTTTAGCGATAAATAAAAAAGAAAAAAAATTTCTCTCTTTACATATATAATATGTATTTTCACAGACGAAATTTGGCCGGAGATGTATGCGCGATTATGCGTGTGCATGCATTTTTGGAGCAATGGGGACTCATTAATTATCAAGTGGACGCGGAATCTAGACCGACACCCATGGGACCTCCACCAACGTCGCACTTCCATGTTCTGTCAGATACGCCGTCCGGTTTGGCGCCAGTTAATCCAAATCCGCCAAAAACGCCACAGCCGTCCGCCGCAAAGATGTTGCTCGATTTGGAGAAAAAACCAACAGTTGTATCAGGTCCGGAGGAGAAGGTTGCGGCGGGTGCGATGGCAAATTTTGCTCTCAAGATCGATCAATATTCGAGAAAACCGGCGGTTCTGAAGAATAAGCAAGCGGCTGGCGCTACGCGCGATTGGACAGAGCAAGAAACGCTCCTGTTATTGGAGGGATTGGAATTGCACAAGGACGACTGGAACAAAGTATGCGAACACGTGGGTTCGAGAACACAGGACGAGTGTATCTTGCACTTTTTACGTCTACCTATAGAGGATCCATATCTCGAGGAAGGTGGACCTGAAGGATTAGGACCTTTGGCTTATCAGCCGGTACCATTTTCGAAAGCTGGTAATCCTGTCATGAGCACAGTCGCTTTTCTCGCATCAGTCGTGGATCCTAGGGTAGCTGCGAGTGCGGCGAAGGCCGCCATGGAGGAATTTGCTGCGATAAAGGACCAAGTGCCGGCTGCGTTGTTGGATCAGCATTTAAGAAATGTTCAAGCTAGCGCTAATTCGGATGGTAATTTTTTTTATAACCGTAGTGTCTAAATCTGCTCTAATGATTTATTCTTTAAGAAAATGTAATATATATATATATATATATATATAATGAAATATTTCTAAATAGGTAAATTTGACCCAGCGGCGGGCTTGGCGCAATCGGGTATTGCAGGTACAGGACCACCCGAACCACCTGACGACACAACAGCATCCGCGACTCCCACGACGGGTGCAGCTAGTTCGCCTCACTCGACTGTGCCAACTCCCGAAACAAAAAAAGAGGAACCAGAAAAACCTAAAGACGCAATGGACGTTGAACCATCTCAGGTGGACGTCACAAAGAAGGAAGACGAATCGAAGGAGGGTGAAGAAGACGTAAAATCCACCACTGATCCAGAAGCTGCGGAAGCAAAAGAAAAGAAGGATAAGGTAAAATGCTACAGCGATTTGAAAAAAAATCGATTTAATCACATTTTTTATTAAAAAAAAGTTTTGTCTAAAATTTTTTTTGGACAATTAGACAGTGCTGTACGTCAAACTTAATTTTGTACAGGTTGTAAGAGATGCTCAGCTTCAATCTGCGGCGGCAGCAGCATTAGCGGCTGCAGCTGTTAAAGCTAAACATTTAGCAGCTGTGGAAGAACGCAAAATAAAGTCGCTCGTCGCTTTGCTGGTGGAGACGCAGATGAAGAAATTAGAGATCAAATTACGTCACTTCGAAGAATTGGAAACTACGATGGAGCGTGAGCGTGAGGGTCTCGAGTATCAGCGGCAGCAGCTCATCACCGAGCGGCAGCAGTTCCATTTGGAACAGTTGAAGGCAGCCGAGTTCAGAGCGCGGCAGCAGGCTCATCAGCGAATGGCTCAGGAACAACAGCAACAGCAGCAGCAACAGCAGAATCAACAGCATCCACCTTGGCAACCGCCTGGCACGCAACAGCAGCAACAGCAACCGCCGAGTCCGCAGGCTCAGGTGCAACAGCCGCCGCCGCATACACCGCCGCAGCAGACATAACTTTTTCGTGAGTATTGAATTTTTGAATAATTAATCGATTGTTAATGTTGTAATTACTTTTACAGAAGAATCGACGCGTATATTATTTAATTTCCACATCATTTTTCAATTTTTCCTCGTTTCTGTATTCTCAGTCAATGATAGTTATCTATCTCTGAGCTATAGATCGCTTCCTATGCAAAATGATTTCATATTCTTTCGAAAAATTTTGTTGTGTTTCGAGATAGGAATAAATAATCCACAAAATATTTTAAGATTTCTATTATATGGACACACACACACAGATATATATATATATATATATATATAATCACACGGTGAGAAATGATTTCTCTTCATTCTTTCTTCATCTTGTACCTGTACATCGAATCTTCTATAGTTCTTTATATCATTCTTCTTAAACGAAACGTCATAAGAGAGTGATGTATTTTATAAATATAAGATATATGTATAATATGTATTAAACATATTATTCTATATACACTATTACCAGGGATAATGCGATATATATTTTGATCTACAAAGCATTATTGTCTATTAATTCCAACACTAAGTCAGTCATGAGTCGCGCACACTCGGCACCTCCAGGTGGTGGTGCTTCTACCGTAACATGTTTCTCCTCGCTACTAGTTTCCGCGCTACTCGTCTCGTACAAATTCGGTGCTTCGTGACTCGCGCATGTACTAATTGGCAGTATATCCAGTGCCAATCCCAATCCGAATCGTCCGCATCTTCGCATCTCTTCGTTCAGTCTGTGATTGTTAAGTAAATAATATTGAAAGTTTTATTATTAAAATATCGTTTTAAATTCATATTAAAAATTATTGGAAAGTTTTTTATGTAGCATAAATATATTTATTTTATTTATGGAGATTAAGATAATTTGAAAAAATAGGAACTTCGAATAAAATTACTTACAAATTTCTAAGGCTAGTTAATTGTTTGATTATAGCTATTGCTTTTATGATTAAATCTCAATAATTTTTTTACTTACAATTCCCATACGACAGATGAATCTTTCGGTGGTTGTTTCGGATTGAGGACACGCAAGGAAGACATCAGATGGGAATGATAATGCTGGAGAAGCTGTGTCATGTAAGCCCGCCTAACAACACCACTTGTGCAGCAGTATAGCAAGTTCGCAAGATCAAGAGCGAGGGAGCCAACCCGCGTCAGTTGAAAATCGACAAGATAAACGGCCTGCAGAAGCACAGTATTAAAAGTTAAGTCTTAGGAGGTTTCGCGGTGCGGCGCACCTCGCACTCTCGTGCCAGCCAAACATTCTGTCAGAATTTCGAATATGATTTATAGATTGCGATATCTATATCACGGGATAAATATTCTTGCAACGTATATCGTAGTTCATTTTTATGAGATAATTGAAATCGATGTCTGATATATTATTTATGAATTAACGTGAATGAAGAAACCAAGTAGTTGAAAATAAACTAAATAGCGGAGGAGGACAGATGTTTAAAAACTAAAACGAGTAAAATATATATTATATACATTTTTTTTTCATATTTTTAGACATGATGTAATTTTACGTTATACTTCTCTGCAAGTCGGTGTCGGAATTTATCTTAATTGTGTGTAATTGTACATAAGGCAAGAATCTTTTCTTTGAACTCGCGGCTACACGGGTCTAGGTGTGACCAATTTCGCTAAACTGAAGTCTTTTTAATAAGATCATAGATGAAGAAAAGCATTTGAATCATATATAAGAATCTTATAAATTTATATAATAAAAATGTATGGAATAAAAATGGTTTTTTCGTCTCGTTATCTCGTACAAAGATAGATAGAATTTGTAGAAACAAAGTATCATCTCTCTCTCTCTCGATAAATTATCTTTCTGAAAATGCAATCTTTTATCGTTGATATGTACAAGGTGAAATACAAGGGTGCAATATGCTGTGTACGCAGCACTTTTCACATTTTCGTAATAAAATAAAAGATTCACCTCTGTATCCGAACTTGGTTCATCCCGAAGGAGGATATTGTTGGTCCAGCAATCGCCGTGACAAAATACGGAGAGAGGTCCTTGCGCAGAGACAAGCTCGCTCATAGTGCGAAAAAATACGTTTTCGTTTAGGAAAGCTTGCAGCTTTGTCATTATTTCCTCTCTCCTGTGATCCATGTGCAAAGGTAGCGCTTCGGATACCATTCTGATAGCGTTATTCACGGCAACGCGATAATATTGTCGATACCAATCTTCATTGTCTCGTCGAAATAATGTTTCTCGTATACTTTGATCGTGTTCCGGATTTGTTAATTTCGTGAACTCCTCCGGCCTTCAAAGAGTGATGTATCTTTTTGCATTAAAACTAGTGGATAAAGATAACGAGACAAAACAACTCGTGATTGTTAATGAAAAAAAAAGTAATTCCTTTTTATTAATATTTTTAATTGCAACACTTGATTCTCAAACACATTTATTTTATCTCTTCGAAAATCTGATTAATGATTAAACATTACTTATTTATTTTTATTAATATTTTTTTGTAATCCCAAAAATCTCAAGATAAATCATACTTACCTAGATTCCTTTAGCGTTAAGCTAAGTGCGTGAAAGCCCGCTAGAGCTTTCAACACGTGTCTCAAGTTTTCCATCTCTAGCCCTTTCCGTCTATCTGCCATTTTAAAGCCTCTCACTCTCAGATCCTCCATAGCAATAAGATTGGCTCTAGCGGCATATATTTTGGGTACCCCGCTGAACACCCTTCTATCGTTCGATTGAAGTCTGTTCAATGCAGGCCACACATGCTTGTAGAACACGACCTCATTTCTGAATAGCATTTCGCTTTTGAATGCTTCGCGACGTATCTTAGATTCCGGCAGAATCTTATAAATGATAGCGCACTCGTAATTAATCCATTCTTCTTTTTTCAACAGTTTACGCCCCTTCGCCCGGACCCGGTACAACATCGAAGTATAATTGTCTCCTCTTCCCGATCCTGGTTCTTCGTCCAAATCATGAATCTCCACGTCGGGCTCATTTTCGATAATTAACTCGCGCACAGCGTCGAGCGTGAGTTTATTACTACCGTCGCCGCTGCTATCCATCACTCTGACAGAGATCTGTCGGAAATTTCAATCTCTACGACGATGATCCCTTCGACGATGATACCTTTTCGATTTTTCCGGATAGAGCCAACTTTAACATTCTACACTTTACAGCGGACCGAAGAGTTGTGCTGTCTGACGCAGGAAATGAGTATTTGAGCGGCTGGAGGGCTGCCGCCTCCCACTGCAACCGACTTAATTTATTAATGATTTAAGCCCCAACTATCAAGAGACAAGGACATTGGTACATGTCAATCATACGCCTGATTGTTTAAAAGTTCTCCACTTAATTCTTCAAAGCGTGACGCGGTACGGAATAACGATAATGCAAAAAGTTTTCTGTCAAGTAAGTTCTTCTCCCGAATGATACATATTACAGTTTTGTACAAAGAGTATTTATAATACATAAATATGTCCTTAAAAACAATTTTATATTATATATATATATATAAAATTGCGTTACAGTGTATCGATTCAGGCATAATTACGTTAAAAAATTATTGATAAATTTTCATATATCTCAGCAAGATATTTTTATATCATGGCGATGTTTTATTATATTATAATTATTTTAAATATTTCTTCTTTATTCCTACACTGTGCTGTCACATACTAACTCTACAAAATTGCAATCAAGGACCAAATGTATGAATAAAGCACTTTGTGCTTTATTTAATTTGATTTAATTTTCATCGAAGACTTGTAGAATATCGTTACCCACTAAAGTAACTAATACATTTTCTTGATCGGGTGTAAGAGGTATAGTACTTTGCAACTTTTTAGCCATTTCGCCGGCTCCTTCTAGATCGTTAGCAGTAACGTATGTTAGGAGATTCTGAAAATATAGATGTAGCGACATTAATATGATATCAATCGGTTATTAAAATTAAATAAAAAGAAATGTTATACCGCTGTTAACTAAATTAAAAAAAAAGATTTATATATACTTACTAAAATTGTAGGCACGTGCGTTTGAACTAAACACAGCTCGAATATTTCACGTATATGATCCGTTGTAATAGTACCGATTATCAAATGCGGCGATTCAATTAACAACAACATAATTTCCGTCGCTTTGTCGAACTTATCTCCGCGTAAAAGTAGCATTATGATATTGCCCATTATTGTGTTGGAAACCGTAACATGTTGTATTCTTTTAGTATTTTGTGCCTGTATCGATTACAAAAGACATTAGTTTAACACATCTTATTACATCAAACTTAATTTTAATTATAGATTCACCGATTTGGAATCGATTTTAGCAAAAATAATAAGAAAAATCATCGCATTTATTGCACCTTGTTTTCTTTTTCGACACTCTATTTCTTCGCGGTTAAAATTCTATAACTAAAATTTACTCGAAATTGAATGAGAGGATATTAATTTTGTTATTTATAATTTCTCTTTAAAATTTCATAGAAACAAACTCTTTAATTACTTATATGTAATTCGGAAAGTATCTCGTCAGTCTTGCTAAAGAAAAATGGATTCCAAATTCGTCTATTATTGATTGTAAAGACATCCATAATTAACAAAATTAATTTCAATTACTTGTATATGATCCCAGACAGTGAGTGCAATCTCCGCATATTGCGCGTTCAACGCAGATTCGGACACGGGTTTACAATGTACGCTCATCAAGTGCAATATCTCCTCTAATAAACCTTCCCTGTCCAGATGACCGAACATGACCATGTGCGACCAGAGTTTTGGTATATATTGCGTAACGGTCTCCGCAGGATAAAATTGAACAGCTTCTAATATAGCCTTCATCACGGCGGGTTCCGGTATAGTCACATGTGGTACGAGCTTACTATAGACCTTGAAAAATGTTTCAAATTCCTCCGTTGCCAAAATTAATTCCAAGTACGTTCGGTAGTATAAATTTTCCTGAAAAACAAGGAAAAAATAACTATACTAAATATGCATAACATAAAATGTGTAAAATTAAATATAAATTCTATCCAAATAATAATGCTATTTAAAGAAATCATTAAAATTAAAAAATTTATTAAACGATTTTTTTATCGTATAACATTTTCATAAACTGTCCTAATTCAGAATACTTACTTTGTAGCTGTCACCGATGAATTTATAATTTTCACCAGAGAGAAGAAGCTCGTTAACCATTTCGCCCACTTGACGTTCGCAAAACTGTTTGCAAGCCATTTCCATCGCGGTAACGAAGAAATTTAAGTCTGTTGCACTTTGAATGGTAAGAGTTTCCTCCTTCAACGACTTCAAAATTTGTGTAAAGGGCCTGTAAGCCGCATCACCTGTTTCGCCGAATAAACTTATGAATGTTTTGATCGACACAGAAAGTTGCAAAATAAAAATGTGAGTCGAATAATTACCAAATCTACTTAAAATTCGTAGTACATAATAATACGTAGTTAACGACGGCTTAAGTTCGAATTTCGCGATATCGGCAAATACATTGCGTGTTAAATCGAGAAGTACTCGATTATTTTTGAAGGTAGACACTGCATGAAGAACTGCATTAAACGTATGTATATTTGGAATTATCCCGTTCGTCGCCATTGCTTTGTATATATCAGTTATCAGTGTTTTTGCGTTGTCTTCTTCTCTCAACAGTGACACTATTGACATTATACTATTATATCCATCGATAGATAACGGTATATTATTTTCCTGACATTCTGTGTACAGATACCAAACTTTATCCGTCTAAACAGACAAAAATATTTCCAATAAGTCTATATATACATTTTTATAATTAAAAAATATTTTATAATTAAATTGCTCTTACGATCTGGGATAATCATAATTATCGATTTAGAATGAGCTAGATATCTTACATTGAAGTGTTTAGCAAGACCGCATATCATCGCGTTGTACGCAGCAGCTGCTACCGCGGGTTCTTGTTCCTTTAAAAATTTAAATAATATATCGATTTCCGGATGATGTCTGCAAATCATGATACAAAAATATTATTTAAAGTCAACACTGTGAGAACGGTATATACATGAAAAAGTATTAATGTATTCAATTTTCATATACTCACATCCATGTATTCTTGATACGTTTCTCGCCTAACATATACCAACGAGTCTCCAATAATTCGGTGTTGATAGATTCACCATTATTGTGAAAACACAACAATTCCAGGAGAGCCTGTTTTGTTGGCACTGTCACGTTTTTTAGTAATTTATATACCAAAATAGAGTTGGAAACATGGCCGTTTGATATTTCATATAATAATGTTTCCTCTGTTACTTTACTTTCTTCTGTATAAATAGGAGGCGGCACAAATGCCTATACATATTTTACTATTGTGTTAACTCAATGTATTTGTTGACAAGTAAATGTAAAATATCATAAAAATTGACAAACAGATATAAATGAGCATATTTCAATATACACTGCTAGTACTGAAAATTTATAATATATACGTGATGTAAACTACTGGCAGTGTATACTGGAACATGCTCAATATATTATATTCAAATAATAGAATCATTTTTAATGTATTACCTTAATTTCAGGATCTGCTACTTTGTGTTGGAACAAATCACGATGCTCGTTGTGAATCCACATCGCAGCTTTCTTCCCAGACTCTTTTGCTAAAGCATAATTGCGCATTTGCCCTTTTGATAGCGGCATCAAATAAGGATCGTCATGAAATTTATAATGTGGCGCTGTATAGTCTCTGGTTATCGTACTCTCAAGAGCCTACAAGATAAATCACATCATATATTTAGAGAAACATCATCATAAGAAATAAATTTACTCTTATTTGCAGGAGTAAAACAAAATACAATAATTTTACTCACTTTTAAAATATCTGTTGGGCCACGTTCTATCCTGTTTGGAATGCAAATATCCGAGGATGAGGATGATGATACTGTTGTTGATTGCAGTCGCACTATCAACTCCTGATATAATTTCCTGCAAATATTTAAGGTATAAATGAAAGTTATTTCTACAAAATTCATAAATATTTTCACAGAAATTATTTTAGAAACAAATGTGTATTCTTGAATATATCATTAATATTTGACCGAATGAAATAATAAAGCCACATAAATAAAAATTAAGTAAATCACAAGAATTAATCACAAAATTAACAAATCTTTCAATATATTTATTTTAAAAAACGATAAATCAGCGTTCGTCGTGAGCTGCACGCACATGTATAAAAGTTTCATGATTTTATTCGAAGAAATGATTAATGTACATAAATCGAGTGAATAATAGCTCGTTACATACCTACGTGAAATTCTCGCTAAAGAATTCATTGTGCGAGTTTTTTTTTTAATTAATTTTTCCTAAACTTTTATTTTACCTCTACGACGAAAACTTTGGAGGTTAAATCAGGTTAGGATTATATATAAACATGGCATCGAGTGAATCATACGAATCATACGAATCATTCGGCGCGTTCCACTTGGACGCATCTGTAGCAACAAGTGGACTACAGCCATAATTACATTATGGTGGCGAATAATCAACTGCAGCAGAGACGAATGCATCATTTTATATACTTCATTAATGTCAAGGACACGCAATTTCGTTGCATAATTAGGTATGTTTGGTAAGACTAATCGATAACGTATATTAATATAAATTCGTCAGTTGAAATTTCAAGTTAAGTAAGTTTTTCACCATAATAATTGCTCGCGTTAACAATTCGCGTGCAAAATCGACAAACGTGGTTAGACAATCGTGTTAGAACAATTGGTGTAACTAATATCTCTTGGCAAGCAGTCTTTTTTACATGCATAATATACTTAATTTATTTATCTGTGTAAGAAAAATAAAACTGGCGAATATATATTTTTACGTACACGAAAAATTAATTAAAAAATGTATATGATATAAAATAATGCGCATTAATAATGAATAAATTTTTTGCGTAATATTCCTATACTTCAATTTTAATTATCATAAAAAAACAGTTTTGATTCTTATAAAAAGTTTCATCGTGATAAATTATTTATTTCTTTAATATTTTTATCGTGTATAGAATATTTGCTATATATATGTGTGTGTGTGTGCGATTGAATTTCAGAATCAATGCCGGACGTTCCCACTTCTCTGTGAATCGACTCGACTGCACTGTTATTTATTCCACCTGGCCTGATGCATTTACAAGTCCGTATTGATACGAATCATCTGACCAACTTGTGTCAACCTCTTGTAGAGCAATACTTTGGCCATCTGGTTGGTTGCCTATCTGCAGGCTTTACTTCATATAAAATATAAAAAGTACGTAACGGAAATGTGTATATATATATATACATATATCGCGTAATGTATACAAAGTGTCTCTAGTGAAAAAGATTCTTCGATTAATTTGAAATCGATATTTCGAACAATCAATGAAATCGTTGATTATTTATATACTTTTTGAATAATTGACAAAAATGAAATTTTACTTATGATGAAAAGAAAATGATAAAATATATTTTTTATATAATATATTAAATATTTTACTTTACAAGATTCGCGAGAAGCTATAAGAATATATATATAAAATTATATATCGAAAATTATCTCAAGAAAGCTACCATTAAAAAATAATATAGAAATTTTGTTGCAAATATATAGTCTTTATATTTTGCAAAATGCATTAATGCAATGTTAATAATACATATACAAACTAAAAATCATATACATTATTGTATATATATACAATTTTAATATAAAATTCAATTATATAATATAAAAAATCTTTTCTTTCTATAAATATAAAATATAAAAGTTGTTTATAATTATCTTCAATTTTCTTAGTCTAATATCATATATATGTGCGTATCGTCGCGCATTTCAGGAACGATTAACACGTTACATACATTATACATTTATTACGCAGCGGCATGAAATTAATCCCATTAAAAAGGGAAAAAAATTAAATTCCCACTGCATAATATTAGAATTCCCGATGACCCACTTACACACGCGCTTGTTCGGAATTGTGCGTCATCGGTAAATGCATTGTTCCTTCTTTCTAGCAGCAGCTGGCCTCACCACCACTATACTATCATCACCACCATCACCGCACCATCACCGCTGTGTCAGGCAGAGGGTACATCTTGCACCCCTCTTCATTAAATAGCTCAAGGTATCATCCTCTCCTTGGTTTTTAACTGGACGACGACGTAGGTATGTACCAGCTGCTCTTCTCTCTCGTCGAAAAGAAAGAGAAAAAAAGAAAGAGAAAAAGAACGGTAGATAGAGATTCGTTTCTTTCAACGAATTTATTGTTTAGCATATGAATGGCGCGAGCGCGCGTTTACGGTTGCACACGGTGAACCCTTTGACATATTACAAAGAATTCAATAAAGTTTATAAGGAAGCCCGAAGGGAACCAGTCTCCGGCCGGAGAAAAACGAGAGAGGAGGAGAGAGAAAGCTCGTGTGCAGATCCTTCTCTCGTCGTGAGAACGCGTGTATATCTTAAGCTAAGCAGTTCTACGCGCATCAGTATGGGGAGCAAAAGTGCCCTAAAAGAAACATTTATTTTCATATAAAGTAACTATAAGAGCTGTGTACTCGATCAATTTTAATATATTCTATCGCAACGAGTGTACTTTTCAAGATATTTTATCTCATATTTTCATCAAATATTAAGTAATCCAATTTTAATGTAGTGTGATATTTTGTAGCATATTTATATCTTTGAAATAATCAATAATATTAGATATCTTTCAATTTATATATTTTATAGAACTTGTATCTTTTGCTCTCTCTTTCTTTCTCATTATTTAAATTTACTGTTTCTTATCAACTGCAGTAAGCGAAGCAATCTTTTTTGAAAAAATCGCAAAGATACGCACAGAGATTTAATTTTACCGATATATACATATGAGCTGAAAAACTTATATTTGATTAATCTCGGAAAAAATTGGTCATGCGTGTGGAATACAAAACGATAGAGAGTAAAAATATTTCTTTAGGCAACTAGAGCTCTATTGTGATGCGCGTCCGGCGCGGCAGTCGAAAAACGGCTGAGACGCCGCGCATCCGTGTACGTAAACGTGCGTACACGCACACACGCGGGCGGGCGAGAAGCCAGGTGTTTTATTTCAAACCGTGGGACTCTCTCCTTAAAGAGAGGGATGCTTTTGCGCGTCACGCAGTGCAGCGCGCGCGCGTTCTCTCGCGGAAGCGATGGTAAGTAGGAGAGGGACGAATGAGAAAAACAGGATTCGCGTCCCTCCACGCTTCGGGGGACCTCACTATTTTTATTGTGTTTCCTTGTTCGATCGAACGTAACGTAACCCTCCCTTCCTCCTCCTCCTCCTGCCCTTTGCCGAATTCTTGGCCGTGTCCTTCGTCCTTTGATATATCGAGTTTTTCCTCTTTCTTTTTTCCCCGCTGTTTTCTTTGTGCGCCATCGAGAGAGTATTATAAAACACTCCGCGTTTTGGGGGTACGTTTTACACGTGGCACCGTAAGGGAACGGGGTGAGAAGGAGAGAAACGGGAGCGCAACGAGGAAAAGAAATATATATATATGTATATATGCTACATCTATAGCAGGAGAGCGCATCTCTCCCTCTTCTCTCGCGGACAGGAAATCCGAATCCTCGCGTCTCGCAAATTCGCGGGTAAGCCCGTGGTAAACAGGAGGTCCTGTGGGGAGAGAGAAGACCGTTTCTCCCCCTTCCTTCCTTCCTTTTTTCTTGCCTCTTCCTCCGCCGTGCGACCGTTTCACGAAACGGTTACGTGAGCGCCGCGCTGCTCACAAAGGGATACGCAACTTCCTTTTTTTCTTTTTCCTCTTTCCTTCCGAATTCGTGCACGAACGTTAATAACCGCGCCCGGCGAGGTGACGCGGACGTTGCTCGCCTTTCTTTCGAATCGGCCGGAAATGCGCAGAAAACCGATATGACATCCTGGAGAACGAAAGCTCTCGCAGAGAATCGCAATGCAAATAAATGTATTATTGCGAATCTATGACGTATATCTAGATCAGCGACTTTTCAATTTAAACAAGAACATTTAAAAATGATTTTTTTATAGGAGAGATTTTTTTATATCTAATCCTTTTCCCATCAGATTAAAAAATCAACCTGTTTATTTTGATTTTTTTTTGTTTTTTTTAAGAAAGATGTACTCAAGTAAAAGGAATGGAAGAAATTAAAAATGATAGCGATTTTAAGATATATATTCTAATTTTATTAAATCTTTATTGTACTTCCCATTTTTTGTCCTTTACAAATGCACGCTTTTTCGCTTTGTTTTTGCAGCTGAAACACGTATAAAAGTATATAACACATTTAGATAATCAAAAATAACATACATATTAACATTGCTGGAATTCACGTTAATTTTTCATGCTTTAAAAGAATTCTATCGAAATATAAAAAAGAAATTAATTCGGATGCGGCTTTCGACTGTCAATGATTCGACAATTACAACATAAACTAAAATTTACATGTGAATACATGCACACGCATATACATTTGAAATTATATCTAATTTACTCCGAGAAAAAAACCAAGTGAAAAGATACGAGCAAATCACAATGTTGTTACGTTATATCCTCATAAGAGAATCATATATTACACATTAACATTTAGCTTTCACTGGTACAGACTTGTGCACTATTATGCAGAGTGATTTCATTTCAGAAACAAAGACCGCGAAGACTAATTTCGGTGAATTGAGTTTTCGTTGCTATAAACGCGAACAATTTTCAAACATAATCAACAGATGAAATTATAAAATTATATAATGGTTAATAAAATTCGTATAGTAAAAATATAATTTCCCTGTTGTTTTTCTGAGACGTGAAAATTTATATTTATAAATCAATGTATAAATATACATGGAAATTGCAAAACATTCGAGATATTAAAAGGATAATAAAAAATTTACAGATTTTTGTTTTTAAAACTTCTTTGTCAAAGGAAAATAAAATTTAAAAAATCTCGTGCATACATATCTTATGAATTTTTCTAACTTTGTCAAATATATTACAAAAATTTCGTAAAACCTGTCAAGCAAAACTGAAACTAATTTGCAACCCAACACTTGGATTTTTCGATAAAACGATATGATAAATTAATGTGCCGTTATAGCATCGAGATCCGAATTCACTGGAGATACATTCTTATCAGAATCGTTATTAAGATGTGCAATCGTTAATATCAGAAATTAATGTCCGACGATACGACGATATATCGAGTAGACCCAGCAGGCCGGGACGAGTGCAATTTGGATATAAAGTCAACAATGTTGCCTTCATCCCCACCTGCCTGATCCTCGATAATTTTCATCTCGAACTACTTGAGAAGACAAATTTCTGTATCCTTCTTCGTCTCCCTCTCTCTCTCTCTCTCCTTTTCTTTCTCGTCTGTCGGTCGATCCCTTTGTTTCAAGTTACACGACGGGACATAATGCATCCCGATAGGCCGGGACAAGTGCAATATTGAAATATTTCTCACTGAATATTGTCACGCATCTCGACCTATCTCTGATGCAAAATGTGACGCGGCTTTTCCGGCGTCGACGAATCGCCCGAATAAACGACGGTATATGTATACTTTTCGACTCAACGGTAGTCATTCCGCTCCAATTTGCGATGCAGGATCGTGCGAGTCGAAGCCAGGGCCGAACATGTCTAAGGGCCCCGTAGACCCGGCTGCGGTATTCCTCTTGTCTCTTTGTAAGAGCTGTAAAACGAAAAAAAATATAAGTTTTGGGTGGAACTTAATTAAAAAAAAAAAAATGATGCAATTAAAATTTTCGGTCATAATTATTATCGAGGAATTTCTTTTAAGGTAAAATATCAAAAGTGTTTTAGAAAAAGAATCTTACGCGAAAAACATCGAGAAAATAAAATAAAAATTGAAACGATGAATAAAATGTCTACATCCGGATAATTCTCTAATGAAAAATTGGAAGACATGTGCGAGCGAATGAATTGGAGCCGATGATTCTGCGAAATGATGAAACGCGGTCGCGTCTGTCGACGATCGTCAGCGGAAATTGCGCGGGAAGGCAGTGCGCTCGCGTTTCGCGTGACACGCACAACTCGTTAGATTACGCGAGAGATTACGCACGCCGCGCCGCGGCGTAACACGCGTTCGTCCATTGATGAGGGAGAGAAATGCGCGCGCTCGCTCTCTCCTACTCTCTCTCTCGCTCGCTCGCGCGCACAGGGGGGCTCTCGATGTGACCTTGGCGGTCAGTCTCCAAATCGTAGAGCCTCCAACATCGTATACTTCGAATCACAAATCATAGCCCGAGGTCGCCATTCTCATGGACCGTAGGTCTCCGAAAAATGAGGGCCTCGAAATAGGGACAATAGGGATCCAGCGTCGAAATTTCTGTGAAACGAGAAACTCGGAGCCTCGGCGCGCTAATTCTTGTATACGTATATCCGTGCACAAAGTCACCCGACACACACACACAAATACGGGTCGAACCGTTCGCTTCAAAACTAACCGAACAAATACGCAGGTTTTTCAAAAGGGACGAGGTCGAACAATAGAAACGTTCGACCTCTATAAATATATATGTACGAATATTGTTTTTCAAGAATAACCTTCGATATAATGTTTCCGAAATTCGACTTTTTCTCACGGCCGAGTCGCGCGCGAATAATATATTCGTCCGAGAAGAAATGCCTTGTGTTTATCGCTCGCGTCTCATTTCTTCGGAACTTGTAACTCGACCTCTATCGCGGCACTTGGTGCGTGTAATGTAAACAATGTCTCTTCGCGCACTGTATCGAGGAACGCTCGAAAACCTTCCGTGAAATTATATTCTCGAAGGATCTACCGAATTCTCTCTCGATCGATCGACCTACATTTGACCCTCGGAAACCGTTCCGTCATTTCGAATACAAAATAAATACAAAGACGCGAGATAGAAATGGAAAACAACGGACGACCGCGGGACGAGAAAAAAATTTAACTATTTGTTTTCCATCTCTTTTCATTTCGAAAGTTGATGAAAAGGACGTTTCCAAATCGTATTTTGTTCCGATATTTTTCTTATTAATAATATGTCTATATTATTAATATTAATTGAGTTTTTCGAAATTTTATTATTTGATTTTAATAATTAATTATGTTATTAATAAATAATTACACTAAATAATATTAATAATATATATATAATTATAAAAAATGAGGTGAATTGGACTTGTGAT